GAAGATGGAGACTCTCGTTTCTTCATTTTCGAAGGAGGCATCATCTGCCTCCCAACACTCTTACCATGGGGATTTAGTGATAGGTCTGGATGATTATAGAACCAAAACTCAGAGCCAAAGCAAGGCTGGTGAAATGCCTCTGCGGGTGAAGGTGATAACCAGAGTGCTTGATGACTTGAGTTCAATCCCTGGGACGCATGTTGAAGGAGAGAACCTCTGGCCTCCACGTGTGCACAGTGTCAGGGATGGTCAACCCCTCAAATAAATAAGCATCTAATAAAAAAAGTATAAAAAAAAGGATAAACTGCATTAAAACAAGACAACACAAAAAAGTGCACCCAGTTCCCACTCAGTAATAAATCTAGACCAATACAAAAACAGAAACCTATTTATTTCTGGATTTGCTGAGATGTGAGAAAGGAGGAACACTCATGTACTCTTAAGAAAATGCTCCGTGGGCAATGTACAATTTATTCCACATGGTAGACTCTTCCCTCCAAATCATTTTCACTGTTATCTAATGCTCCAAGTTAGCAGATTTCCATCATGTATTAAAAAATAATGTAGTTAAAAAATGATTTGGTGTTTTGCCTACATGTATGTCTGGGCACCAGTTGCATGCCCAGTGCCCATAGAAGCCAGAAGAGATTGTCAAATCCTTTGGGTTTACAATGTCAAATCCTTTGAGTTACAGATGGTTGTGATGCACCACTGGGAATTGAGGATGGGTCCCTGGAAGAGCAGTCAAGGCTCTTAATCCTGAGCCATCTCTTTGGTTCCCATTATGTGTGTCATATATATACATAAACTTTATGTGGACGAGTGTGTCTGTGTGAGTGCATGCACACACATGCGAGTCATACATATGTGTGTCATATATGATATATATCTTATAATACATATTACATATATTTAGATGATGTTCACGAATAAGCCAGAGTGAGTGCATGCACACACGTGTGACTCTGCATGTTTATAGAGAGAGGGCAGCCAGATAAGAGCGTTTGATGACGAGGCACAGGAGTTACAGCTATTTATTGATGCCAGACTTTCTAAAAACTCCAAACTCTAGCCCTTCTGGTTCTGTATGTAGTGCTCCTAACCTGGAGCCATCTCGCCAGCCTCACAATCATAGAGTTTTTGATGGAAGTTGATTTCCAAGCCCCTGTTGCTTTACAATTGCAATCAAGCAACTATATCCAGAGTCTAAAGAGCAGAGCAACCAGCAGATATTACAGGATGACTGTGAAGAGACACATCTTCACATCCTGTCACACACTGGGGATGGCTCTGAAGAATGTTTCCAACTCTGTTAGTGAATACTTCATCTTATCTCTTCATTCGACTGGTGACCTTTCGAAAATTTAAAATCAAGAAATACACGCTGAATATGTACATGTGTTGGACATTGCTTAGAAAGTGTATGTGCATGTGTGTGTGTGTGTGTGCATGCATATGTGTGTGTGTGTGTGTGTGCATGCATATGTGTGTGTGTGTGTGTGTGTATACACAGTATGGAACAACAGCTGCAAGAGACTGTTACAAAACTTAATCAGCACATTTTATTAGAGGGCAAGATTGCTCATCTTTTCCAAAAGATTGTTTTTTCTCTTGTTTTAACTTATAAAATAGGTTTATATGGACAGAAATAGGATGCACAGGAATGCTTCTGATTGAAAGCATTCAAAATAACACATTTGAGAGCTTATTTGGAGGCTCTAGCAGGAGAGCGCAGCCACTTGTATATCCTTGACCAAAGACCGATTCTCCTCTATTCGGGGAAGGTTGTCCTCTTGGACCGAGTGCACAGCTTCCAGAGCGACACACATGGAGTGGTGAGGGAGGAAGGGACACCTGCCTAGCCTGCCAGATCAGCCGAATCAACCCTGGCGATCAATGGGGTGACAGACGTGGCAGCCAGGTTGCCCTTACATCCTAAAATAATACATTTGAAATGTGTGACCTTTGATCTTCCTATCCCAGTCTTATCCCATTGATCCTGAATCCATACACATGAGAGAAACTAAACATAAATGCTTTTCTGATAACCGTGATTTCTCTTCATCTCATACAGTGGATTTTCTTTTCCACTTTGTGTACGTGTCTTTTTTTTATAGAATGCTTTCTTGTTGGTTTCCTGAGATTAGATTAGAGATCTAAAACAACAGCTGGTTTCTTTGATGCATGAACTGTAAATGCTTCCTGGACAGGTGGAGCAGGGGTGGCCGGAAGCTACCTGTTCTCTTAATGGTTTCCGTGTCCTCTTCTCCCTAGTTCACACGTTGCACACCATCTGTGCCTGTGTGCCAAGGAAAAGTCGGAATGGGGTATGCTGCAGGATGGCAGATGCTGGGTGCTGGTGTTAACTTCCTCCTTTCAGGTTTGTGGCATGAGTTCCAGGTTCGGTGAGAGACCCTGCCTCAAAAAATGAGGTGGAGAGTTGGGGATGTTCCTCAGTAGGTGAGAACACTTACTGCATCAGCATGGGGACCCGGTTTACACCTTTAGCACCTGCATCAAAAGCTGAGGATGGCAGCAGGCACCTGAAATCCCAGTGCTGTGGAGGGTGAAGGAGACAGGTGGATTACTGGGGGCTTGCTGTGTCAGTTTGAAATCCCACCTCAAGGTCATGATAGAGCAAGCCACCCGAAGAAGACCTACTCTGGCCTCTTCAAGGATTCAAGTGCATATCTTCAAATATGTGTGCATATCGCACACACACACACACTCGTACAAACACATGCATATGCACACACCTACACATCGAAAGAGGTGGAATGAGCAAAGTTCTTGCCCAGAAAGAACCTAGAGATATCACAGCAGCTCATAAAGTCGATTATGGGATTTCCAAGTGATTCGATTTTACCCTTTCATATAATTTCCCATAATTGTGTTTGTGGTGGTTAATCTTCACTATCAATTTGACTGAATTTAGAATTACCACAAAACACACCTCTGGGTGTGTCTATGAAGTTGTTTCCAGAAACACTTTTACAGAAGACTCACCCTGAATGTGGTTTGGCACTGTAGATGGGGGGATGGGTCCTGGACAGAGCAAAAAGGATATAAGCAAAGTGCCAGCGTTCAGCTCTCTCAGCTTCCTGACTACAGATGCTAACTACCCAGGTGCCACAGGGTCCTGCTGGCATGACTTCCCTGCCAACTGGGAGCCAAGATAAACCCTTCCTTCCCTGGCTTAACCACTTTGCTACAGTAACGAGAAAGGTACCTAAGAGAGCAGTCCTGAAACACAAATTTAGCTTTGTTGTTAAGGAACGACACAGGAACAATGTAACTTCCTACAGAGATAATTATGCTAATGCTCACCTTCCCTTGTCTTCACTTTGCCATTCTGGTGTCTTAGGAGCTTAGATGGGAACTCAAATGATTCTATGCTTCCCAGTAAAGGAAATTTTAGAGGAAAAAAAAAATTCTCTTTAGTCTCTCACTCCCTAATTTTCTCTCTCAGGGGAACCAGAATTCCCTGGTTAGGGAATTTACAACGTCCCTAACGATTTAGGGGTATCTTCTGGAATCAGTTTCCTGACAGTGGGTCAAGGAAGTAGACATTTACCTTTGCCATCTTTGGGTCCTGGTTTGGCCTAAGGATCAAACTGATGTGAAGAAGTAGGTGGAAGAAGCTTACAAGTTCAAGTTACGGGGCACAGAGCCATACCCTAAGAAAACACCTCTTCCCCCAAACAGGTCAATGACTTATAAGCTGAATCAGAGCACGAAGTAGCTGGGGTTTGTAAGACATGGTCATGTAGAGGGGTCAGCAGTGGTGTCCAGCCTTTGCTATTGTGACACTCTGTTGTCAGCTGCAGACTTCACACTTGATGTCTGCACATTTGAGTGTTTTCTCTTTGAATCATGAACAGTCTCATAATGTTTTGAGTTAGGTATATGCATAACTTTGTGGTGGGCTGCTCTCCAGGTAACATCTGCTACATGTGGTCTGCAGGCCCAGGTTCGGATGTACCTGGTAAGGTATTTAAGTGGCTAGAGAGTGAACAGGAAGGTAAGGGTTACTGTAACAAGAACCGGCAAACAGTGCTGCTTCCTGATAGTTTAGTCAGGGCGTCTTTCGTAAGTGACTTTCATATTCCTTTAAGAAACAGAATAAAGGTCAGAGTATCCTGGACTTATTATTGTATTGTTTAGCTCTTCTAATTCAAAATAGTCAATATGTTATGGCAACATTTTGTGGTGGAGTAATCATATTCTTAACTCCTTTAAGGCTAAAAGCCCTGGATACAGCAGAGTGCTTAATCAAATAGAAAACTTTGCCAGTTAGCATTTGCTAAGTGCTCCTGAGTGCCTGTTATCTTACTTTTATCGTATTTAATTAGAGGTTCCCTGACTTGCCGTTCTTGTTGGTTTAGAAAAGTTCAGAGGACTTCCCACAGGACAGGGAACCCTGATTGCTTTTCGGGCTGGGGGGGGGGGGGGGACTCAATTGGGGGAGGGAAATGGGAGGCGGTGGCGGGGAAGAGACAGAAATCTTTAATAAATAAATAAATTAAAAAAAAATAAATAAAAATAAAAAAAAAGTAAAGTTCAGAGTCCTAACACCAAGCAACTCAACCAAGATGACCGCTGAATTGGGTGCTTAGTTTGGGGTTTCAAGCAAGGTCCCTGTCCTTGCTGTCTCCCGCTGAGAATGAGCTGTTAGTGTAGGATCTGGGATGCTAGGGTAGGACCACTCACAGCCCTCTTCTTTTGGCAGTTGTTGACCGTCCACTTTCCAGTCACTACCATGATCCATCAGGTGAGGTAGCAAGAGCGGTCACTAAGCAATTACACGCACAGACCGGCACCACCTCATTGACACAGGAGTGCCAAGGTAAAGCTCGCTCAGCTTCTCCCTGCTGAACACTACTACGGCTGCTCGGACAGCCCGCCGCCCTTACTAAAGATGGCGAAAGCTGCCTCAGCCGACCCCTGTTCTTCATCATGGAGGCGATCGGGCCCGCCTCCCTGGGCGCCACAGTCACGTGACCCGCACAATGGCTGACAGGCCACTTAACGCTTCCCAGCAACGGCGGGCTAAAGCCATGATCGCCGCCGCCGCCGCGGGCTCGGCAGGCCGTGTCGCGGTGCCCTTGCTGTTGTGCGCACTGCTAGCGTCCAGCAGCGCCTACGTGCTCGACGACTCCGACGGGCTGGGCCGGGAGTTCGATGGCATCGGCGCAGTCAGCGGCGGCGGGGTGAGCGCGGGCTGGCGGGAGGCGAGGATGCTCTGGAGCGCGGGGACGCGGGATGGGGCGGGGGCGGGGGTGGGGTGGGGGAGGCGGGCGTTGCCCGGTCCCACAAGCCCCCGCGGCGTTGCCGGGCGAGCAGACGCCGCTTCCCGCACGCCCCTTTGAAGTGAAGCCAGGCAGGCGGTTAGCCCTGAGCGGAGCAGCCCGGAGGTCTCGAGGGGAGAAGTGTCTGCAATGGACCGGCGAGGGCTCGAGAGTGCCCGCGCTCTCGATCGCCCTCCTGGGCTGTCCTTGTCGCGCTGGAAGGGTCGCCTCTGAAAAAGCCAGAGAGGGAACGCCGAGCCTCAGCGGGCTGCCCTAGTGGTTCCCTTCCTTCCTAGGGAGATAGATAGTGGGCCCGTGAGTCAGACAGAAGACATGAGCAGTGCAGCAGGGCATGGGGACCCTTCTTGAGCAGCCGACAGTACACCTCCTCTTCCTCCCCATGCGAGTGTGGCCTCATAGACTCTTTGGGGTTGTGTACGGTCTGAAGCTATCTGGGATACTGTTTTTTAAGAGGGCTACCTTCATCCACGAAGAGAAACTGCCTAGGGGCTGTGCAGTCTGTGCGGGGATGGGGAATGCTGGCTCTCTTCGAGTGCCTGAGAATCGGCAGGTGTACCGGCTAGAACTTAAGTTCTGTCTTCCTCTCCCATTCTGACCTTGTCATGAACACCAGTTAATTCTTCAAAGAAGTGGTATTGGGAAAGATTTCTTTTTGGTTCGAAGATCTCAGGTGTGGGAAGTGGTTTTGTTTTCCAAGTGAAACTAAGGAGTAAACTTTAGATCTACAGGAAAGTTAGCAGCCCAGTATAATGTTCTGTATACCCCAACATTATGTTTGTGTGTGTGCGCGCGCACTAATGAGCTAATCTCTTTATTCTCAGTGGTGTGGTGTTTCTTGTTTTTTTTCATTAAAATTTAAAATAGCAAGTATTTCATATTAATCCTCAATGTCTCCTATTGCTATCTCTGTGATATTAGGTCTAATTGCATAGGCTTCTTAAAAAAAAGGCCAAACTCTCTAGTTTTACTTATTTAGCTCCATTTAAAATTAATAATTTCATAACCTGGTGTGGTGGAGTAAGCCTTTGATCCCAGCACTCAGGAGGCAGAGGCAGATGGCTCTCTGTGAGTCTGAGGCCAAACTAGTGTATGTATATAGTTTCCAGGCCATCCAAGTGCTATATAATGAAACTCTGTCTCTAAAAAACAAAATCAGTTAATAACCTAGAGCAGGAAATTCACTTTTATTTTTAAAGATTTTAATTGTGTGTGTGTGTGTGTGGTGTGAGCATATGTAGATGTGAGAGCAGGTACCTCTAAAGGCCAGAAGAATTAGGTCATTTTGAGTTGCCATCTCTCCAGTCCCCAGAGCAGGTAATTCTTATCTATAAAATATTCAATTATTAATGTCTTTGTACAGTGTTACTCAGTTTAGGAGAACAATCAGCAATGAATGAAGATGGTTGAACATACTATTTGCTTACCAGTTTAAACTGTGTGTATGTGTGTGTGTACATGTGTGTGACGGACCAGCTCATCTGGGGCACTGGGACGGATGGACCGGACAGGTTCTCAGGAATAGGTGAGTAAGGAGTCAGCGAATGACAAACAGACGCAAGACTCAAGTCAAGTCACCCATCTCTCACATAGGCTGTGGCAGAAGCTTCAAGAAAGAGTGCCCGCAGAGAAGGTGTGTGTGCTTCCTGCACTGGAGCCCTTGCACTCTTGGCATTACCTGCTCCTGTTCTAAGGAACACAGTCTGGCTTCTTCTGGAAGGGAAGACAGTATGTTTAAGTTACCAGAGACCACTGATGAGCCATTGCCATATACAGGACTATATGATGCTAATGGAGGAAGATGGGTTAATATTCAAGGGAAAAAGGTTTCCAAGTTTAATCTGGTGCTTAGTAAATAAAGAACAAAAGGCAAACTTAATTAAGCAATTAAGACGGATTCAGAAAAAACGGGATAAGGATAGAAGAAAGAGATAAATGTCTATAATGTCTTGAGATTGGTTTTGGGGAAGGTTTGAAAAGGAGTTAGAAATATGGAGAAGGAGAAGGAAAGAAGACTATATATATATATATATATATATATATATATATATATATATATATATATATAAAATCCGTGTGGCAACCAATGAGGACCTATCATAATGAGCATAAGTCATCATGAGAATGGCCAAACCACTTCCTCTCTGTATGGATTTGTATATGTATATATGTGTATATATATATACACACACACACACACATAAATATATATATATATACATATACTGGAGACTGTGAGACTGTTAACCACAACTGCTTGCCCTTAGCTCAAAATGCCATGTACTCATAGCCTAGATAAAGATTTATATCGAAACTAATGTCAAGTCATGTCTAGCACAATTAACCGTGGACTCACACCAGAGACATCTGTCTGATGAAATTCTATTCTCATGTATCGTATCTGATATAATGATTCTAAGAATAATCTGTACCACATGAAAAAACAATACATGCTGTTAAACTATCTTTTCTGTCTAATGCCTCATGCCTAGTAAAGACACATTCAGATGCAATTCCTTTGAGCTTTGAGTCTTGTGTCTGCCATTGGCCGACTCCTTTCCCACATATTCCTGAGACCCTGTCCCATCGGTCTCAGGGTTCTGACTGAGCTGGTCCATCGCACGTGTGTGTTTGTGTGTGTGTGTGTGTGTGTGTGTATAACTCTTGCTATCTAGCACAGTTTGTAGCAGCATTTAGATAGCTCTCACTTCACCCTTACATTTTTAGGGAAAGCATTTTGCTGTAGTAGTTGAAATGTGGGCTTGACAGGTTGGTGGAGTCATTCTGGTAAGGACATTCACCTTACTTCATAGGGTTTTTTTTTTTTTTTCCTGAGGGAACAAAGATAACTAACTGCCTGGCTATACCATTGTGAGGACCGGTGTGATTAGGCAATTGTGATTACTGTAATACTTTAGGGGTTAGGGAGGAGGAAGTTGTTTTGAACAAGTGTACCCCAATGCTATTTCCTAGTATCGCCAATAGCTTCAGGCCTTATTTAGGCACCTTGCTTAGTCATTTGAAAATTCATTGTTTAGTGATGGGTTTCAACATTTAGGTCTCTTGCCTTTGCCTAATGTTTACACTGACTATAGTGTGACTATAGCATTGTTTTTCTAAACCCGGTCCTTCCAGTGTTAAAAGGAGACAGGCCACAAACTGCATTTCCAGTTGTATAATGCAAAATAGGAAGAATTGCTTACGGCAGCATATGTTGGCATGTGGGCATGATGAATGCTTTTTTTTTTTTTTTGACAGTTGAACCTCTGCCAGGCTGTAAAGTTTTTTAGAACAATGTATTTTTTTCAAAGTGTGTTTGTGTGTGTGTGTGTGTGTAACCTACCATTTATCTGGGGCTTACCGTGTGCTTGAGCCCTTGCTGTGCTTTTAATGGGCATCTTAAAGTTACAACACCCGAATGAGTACCCAGCTTTATTACTTGCTTGCTCATGGTCTTGTGAGAAAATCAGGACGAATGCTACATTTAGTTCAAAGCCTCCTTCTTGTTCTTTGTACCTGTGCAAACAACCTATAGAAGATACTCAATAGCTGCTTTTGAATAACGAAGAGTAAGGGCAAGAGCTTGAGGATGACATAGCATACACGGAACTTAAAGGTGAGAACAGCACCAGGGATTAGGATGCAGGATTAGTTCGAATAGAGACATGGATCTGCTACCAGTGTTGCGCAAGAACTTGGATTAGCTGGGAGTGGCAAAAGGAAGCTTTCCCTGAAGAAGTGGACTTTGAGATGACAGCTAACTATTGAATTGGAGTTGACTAGAAAATAAAGATTCAATATACATCCCAGGATGACAAGAAACAAAAAACAGTTTGATAGGTCTGAATTAAACTTGCAAGAGTGATAGTCAAGCTGGCAGAACTGGGTCCGAGTTATTAAAGGACTGCGGTATAAACTAAACAGTTGGAATTTTATGTTGAAAGCTATCAGAGAACAAGAAACTTCAGCAGAATAATGACAGGATTACACTTTTGTTTGGAGAATATTGAACTGGTAAGTGGTGTGGAGAATTGGACAGGGGGGTGAATGATAAGCCGCTACGCTGTTTTCCTTAAACTAGTGGGGTTGAAGAGTAGGGGATGGATTTGAGAGCACTGAGGACTTCTTGCTGACTGAGGATGAGTTTGTTGAGAGCACAACCTCAGGCTTATGGCTTAGACAGATTTTGCTGTTTGGGAAGGTAGAACATGTAGAAGAAACAGATTGGGCAAGAATGCTGTTTGGTTTGGATCTGTTGTGCTCCATGACATGGTTTGTGACTCAGAGGGACAGGGTAGGAAGATTCTAAGTAGACCAGGCACCAAGCAGAATGTTCTCTATGAGAGCGCTTAGAGGGGATGGATCCCCGTAAAAAAACAAGCTCATATTGTCGGCAAATTGTCAGTTGATTGCCAGTTTTATGCTGAAAAAAACCTACCCCTGTTTATCTTGCTTATATCACCAGGCAAAAGCCTTTCCTTAGTTCTGTGTTCCTGAAGGAGAGAATTCAGGCTGATATACTCTTTAAGTAACACTTAGCAACAAAACAAACACTACAAGGAGATAGATACTGCAGTAGATTGTCTCAAAGGCAGGGGAAAAGCAGTCCAGTGGGTTTTGTGTTATGGATTTTAAAGAATTTTTATGACTATGAGGTTGATGCCATATTCATGGATGCGGTCTACTTTTCCTCTCCTGAATCATGGAGGACCAGATGATTCCATAATCATCTTGAAGAGAGAGGGGGAGTTGACTGGGGGAGGGGGAGGGATATGGAAGGTGGTGGCAGGGAAGAGACAGAAATCTTTAATAAATAAATAAATAATAAAAAAACCCATTTAAGTATGTGTGTGTGAGTGTGTGTGTGGAATATGGAGGGGTCAAAACCGTAATGAAGTTAGGGTCTTTTGAGGATGTAACCCTCATTAGTTCACTATTGTGTGTATGTGGCAGGCGGTTGCGAAAGTGTCCTCCTGGTCCCCTAGTTTTGTTTTGTTTGACAGGGTTTCTCCTGGGTGTCCTAGCTCTCACTATAGACCAGACTGTCCTTGAACTCAGAAATCAGCCTGCCTCTGCCTCTGCCTCTTGAGTACCGGGATTAAAGGCATGCACCACAGCTGCCCTAGTGTTTAATAAGGTAGAAAGGCCCTAACTTCAGCTTCAATGATGCTTGTAATCACAAGCAGGGTGCATTTGACTATCAGGGGACACAGCCTTCAGGTCCTTGGTTCTGTCATGTCTTCCTGCTGCCTAATGAGAGGCACAACCATGAAGACTTAGCTCTAGTTTTCCTGGCTACCTCATATCTATGCCTTGCCTACACCTTGATCTGACCTTCCAAAGGACAGGTTTTTGGTTCACTGTTGGTTTTCGTTAGTGCCTGTACTTTCTACGTATGTTTTTCCATTCTTTCTGTTGACAATCTTGTATGCAGTTTTGTTCATATGGCCCTGCCTTGGGGATTGCTGTGTAGTTGATCACAGTGGTAGCAGATGGAATTTATGAAGATAAGGGGAGTGCTGTTCTTCTCAGCATTACTCTGGTGGCTGTAAGATATTAATGCATAAAATTGTCTGAGATTCATCTCATTTATTCTTGCCCCCAGATATTTTTGTTTATTTTACATCCCAACAGTGTTTCCCCTCCCTCATCTCCTCTCCTTCCAGCCCCCCCTCCTACTTCCCCTTCTCCCCCACCCCCACGCAGTCCTCCTCCATTTCTATTCAGAAAAGTGAGGGCCTCCCATGGCTATCAACCAAACATGGCAAATCAAGTTGCAGTAAAGGCACTCAACTCCTGTTAAGGCTGCACAGGGCAATCTGGTGTGAGGAATAAGGCCCCAAAATTCCTAGCCCCCAGATATTGATAAGTAGTTTAAGATAGATTATTCCAGTTTCAAGACAAAATTGAAATCATGTTTACATTAGTTATTTTTCATGTTGTAAAGACAGAATACCCCAAGTGAATTCAAGGGAGCAGTGATTATTTTGTTTGAGGTGATTTATTTAGTTTGAGGGCTTGGTCTATCATGGTTGGGAAGGAGGACGAGGCAGCATGCATTGCATTTACAATTAGATATAGTGAAAGAAGAAGAGAGATAGAGAAATACAGATATGCTGGTCTGCGCTTAGCTACCTTGCTTCTTTTTGGACAGTTTGAGGCCCCAGCCCATGAAATGGTTCTACTCACATTGAGGATGGCCCTTCCCACCTCACTTAACTGAGTCTAGAAACTCCCTCTCAGACAGGCCCAGAAGTGTGTGATTCTAGATCCTGTCAAGTTGACATTGTTAACCATCAACAATGCTTTAGTAGCCTTTATAAGCTTATCTCTCATCAGCTCTTATACCAGCATAAGAAAACCTGTTAGCTCTTAGAAAAACAATAGACTTGTGCACCAGGATTGGGCACCGACCAAACAGACCAAACAGTGCAGGGAAATGACTCTCCCCAGCTCTGTTTGCCCAAGGAGTGGTCCAGTAGGGACATGTGGGGCCGGGGTTGGATGGGCTGCGTGTGAACACTGTAGACAGGTATTGATGATTATATTTGTTTTCATATTTTTGAAAACTTTTATTTTTTCAGGCAACCTCTAGGCTTCTAGTAAATTACCCAGAGCCCTTTCGTTCTGAAATACTGGATTATCTCTTTAAGGTAAGGAAAATTATCTCCTGGGCTTATGATGTTTTGAAAGTGTATGGTTTTATCAGCTTCTTGGTAGTTTTTTTTTTTTTGTTTGTTTGTTTGTTTTTTTTGATTTTTAGAGACAGGGTTTCTCGGTAGCTTTTGGTTCCTGTCCTGGAACTAGCTCATGTAGACCAGGCTGGCCTCAAACTCACAGAGATCTGCCTGCCTCTGCCTCCTAAGTGCTGGGATTAAAGGTGTGCGCCACCACCACCCGGCTCTTCCTGGTAGTTTTTGTAGACAGTGGCAGATTCCACTTGGAATAAGCTGCTTTTTGCGGTTCTGCTCCTTTCATCTGTGCAGCCAAAGGCCTCTGTGGATGATTGTGTTGAGGCTTTACATGATGGAGCATGGTGATAATACTGTTATTTTTTTCCACAGCCAAACTTTGGTGCCTCTTTGCATATTTTAAAAGTGGAAATCGGTGGTGATGGGCAAACGACAGGTAGGAAGATCTGGGAAACAGGATTTCCCCAATTTTAATCTATATGTAAACATACAGGGCATAAGGAGGGTCAGCTCCTATGAGGTGACTGGTCCTCCACAGACTGTACTTAACTCGTCTCCCTTCTCATTTTTGGGATACTTGTGCGTGTGTGTGTGTGTGTGCGTGTGTGTGTATTTGTGTGTCTATGTATGTTTATGGCAGTGTGGAGGTTAGAGGACGACTTGAGGGAGTAAGTTCTTTCCTCCCACTATGTGGGTCCTGGGACTCTAGCTGAAGTTGTCAGGCTGGGTGATATGCACCTTTACCTGCTGAGCCATCTTGCTGATCTGATATTTCTTTTCTTTTTAAAAATTATGTGAAATGTAAAATTTTCAAGATAGTATTAATACTCTAAATTGCTCAATTGGAAGTTTATGAAAAAGTTATAAGAAAAATTTAATTATGTGTAGGACATTAAGATGTTACAAACTCTAAAAATGTATTGTAAAATGCAACTTGTATTTTAGAAACAGAGCTTTCTTTCTTAAAAAAACAACATATATTAAATATTTAAATCTTCAACCCTCATAATCAAATTTTAAAGGACTTCTGTTTAGTATTTAACTTAATAATTATAGGCTAAGCCCATTAATATTAACTTGAGAATATCTTCTATATTTTGTCTTCCTGCTAGCGATTTCAAAGTAATTATTTTTAAAAAAAAGATGTATTTTGATTTTATGTGTACAGGGTTATGTTTGTGTTGATATATGTATACTGTGTGCATGCCTGGTGCCTGCAGGGGCCAGAAGAGGGAGTTGGACTCCCTGGGACTGGAGTATCAGATGGTTGTGAGTCTTCATGTGGGTGCTGGGAGCCAAGCCTACATTCTCTGGAAGAGCAGCCTTTACAGCTGAGGCATGTCTCTAGCTTGCTGGAACTCACTTTCTAACAGGTACATCTATTGGAGTTTCAGGACAAAAGTCTTGGCATCTAGTGTGACAAACTTGGTTTGACCGCTTATCAGGGACACAGCATTGGTGATGGACAGGAAGGGCACTCTTACCATCCAGATCACTCTGGAAGATCAGAGAAAGGTCTAGTGAACCACGGCTTGTTGTGAGGGGCTGACAAGGATTTTGAGGCCGTATTGAAATGGGGAACAGAGGCCTGTGTCTGTGGTTTGGCTAGCTAGAGTTTTGCATGGTTGGCAGAGCAGGTAACCTTGGTCAGGCTGTGCGGTCTGATCATTCATTATCTCAGGGCTGGTCCTGCAAAGGTCCCGAGAAGTCTTTCTCCCTTGAGAGGGCAGCTTGATTTCCCTTCTTGCCTACTGTGGGAGGCTTGCTGTTGTTTTGGGAGGCAGTCTTAGTCTGATGAGATAAATGTGTGTTTGTGGATCAGAACTGTTCTTAGACTCCAAGATAACTGCAGGACAGAGTAATTTAGAACTCCGGAGGGAAAAAGAGAGGCAAAATGAAGTCAGAGAGGGAGAAAATGAGAGGGAGGTAGGTCAGCTGCTGGGCCCTCTTTCGGGTATTCATGTAGAATTTATGTGGAAAGAAAAAGGTCCTACAGAACAGAGGTTTTTCTCAAAAAGTGTCTTTTTCAAAGATTTAGACAGGATGCCGGTGCAGGCAGGGTGCTGATGCAGATAAGGTGCTGATGCAGACAGGGTGCCAGTGCAGAGAGGGTGCCGATGCAGACAGGGTGCTGATGCTGATCTGGTGCATTTGCTGAAGCTAAATTAGAGATAACGACACATACGCACATTCTCATGTTGACATTAAAGATGACATGGTTCAGAAGCGTCATTCATAGACGGCTCCATTGAGCAACAAGTGAGGTTTGTGGTGCGTGAGAGCACTTGAGGACTTGGATGGCAGAGAATGACCTCTGACCTCGGTTTTCCTCTGCCAATTGTGAGTGCTGGCAGAGGACTTTGATACTGTGGTATTCACTTTTCCATAAGGCTAGTAGTCTGATGACATGTTATGTGGTGGAATATAAGAATTGGGGCTCAGGAGTACAGTGATTCATACCCAAAGTTGAGAGTGAAAATTAAGATGATATGAACTTGAAGTTGGACTCGGGAGCTTGAAAATCTCAGAGAGATCAGAAGCTCAGCAGAATGCAGTCCTGGGAATTTGTAGGAATACAATGCGATAGCTTCTCTCTCAGTACTGTTTTTTTACATAACATTGTGGTTTTATTATTTAAGAATCTTACAGTGTTTAAGATACTAAAAAAATAGGAAATGATATGCTTTACACAGCCACCTTCTTATAAAATTTTTATCTTCACAACTTCACAACTAGAATACAAGGAAAGTGCCACTTTAAAAATTGTTTGTGTTTGTATGTGTATAAGTGTATGAGTAGAGTGTGTGTATGATATATATATATATATATATATATATATATATATATATATATATGGAGAGAGAGAGAGAGAGAGAGAGAGAGAACTTGAACGGCTCCAGACAGCACCGTTCATGGGTTATTTCCTTCCTTTTGCTCTCTTCCTGTTCAGATGGCACGGAACCATCCCACATGCACTATGAACTAGATGAGAATTATTTCCGAGGCTATGAGTGGTGGTTGATGAAGGAAGCCAAGGAGAGGAACCCTAATATTATACTCATGGGTAAGGTTACAGTGCTTGGGGGTCTCTTTAACTTTTATATTAAGAATCATGCTTGTGATGCCCCTCTCCCTGCTAGCAGCTACAAAACATATACAGGACTGATCTTCATTGTCACTGTTTATTATGTTGTGTCTTTATGAATTATAATTTTATTGTTTTATAGATATACATTTGATTGATTGATTGATTTTTGAGACAGAGTCTCACTTTGTGACCTAGGGTAGCCTGGAACTTGCTATGTAGCCCAGACTGGCCTATCACTCATCCCCTTGTCTCTGAAGTGCTAGGGTTACAGGCTGATTTATTGTGCCTGGCTTATTATTGCTAAGTCTTGGTGTCATTGCTGTGCTGAAATACCATGACCTCAGAGCAAGTTGGGGGACAAAGGATTTTTTTCTTTTTGCTTACACTTTCAGATCACTGTTCATCATCAAAGGAAGTAAGGATAGGAACCCAGACAGGGCAGGATCCTGGAGGCAGGAGCTGGCACAGAGGCCATGGAGCTTTTTAATGACCTGCTCAACAGAACTTGCTCAGACTGCTTTCCTGTAGAACACAAGCCGGGGATAGCACCGTTCACAATGGGCTGGGCTGTAGGCCATCAGTCACTAATTAAGAAAATGCCCTGCCCACATAGAGCTTAGTCCTTTAGCAGTAGACTCACTGGATAGTTGCTCAAGATGGACTATATTCATTTCACAGTCCGTAGCAGCATGAACTACTTTAAACAGCCAGAGCTTCGGGCTTTTATCATCCGAAACGAACTCTATCACTCCATCACTTGCTCTTTTGAAGCAGACTTGCATTCAAGCTGAGCTAAATAAAATTATATTAAATGTTTTCTTTTGAATTACAAAATTTAGTTCCCTTGATAGTTAAAGGAAAGAATATTATTTTCCAAATTAAACAGTCACTGAAGAGTGTGTTCTTCCAGAAATGTTTGGAAGAGTGTAAGCATCTTGGAATTGAGCACCTGCTCCCTGCTGTGCTGTTTTCAAGGTTAGACCTCACGTAGGTGAGGGCATTTTCCTGTTAAACCACAGCCCATCAAAGACTCACGTGGTAGATCTTCACTGTGCTCAGCCTTCTGTTGTTTTAAAATGGTCTGTTGTTTTAATGTCATACATTTTACATAGTGAAATTAGCTTAGGAAAAATTGCATCATGTTGATTCTGAGTTTGCTTTTGGCAGTGAACTAGATGGTAGTATATTCAACTGGAAGTGAGCTTATTTGAAAATATCGCAGTTGAAGTGGGAATTGTAACTCGTGCCTTTCTGTTCCCTTTTCTGACTTCACAGTCCAAAGAGTCACAGGAAGAATGCGCTCACTCTGAAGTTCCCTTCACAACGGCGTTTCCTCTCGAGTCCCTGACATTTATATATTTATATAATGCTCAATTTAGGTTTGCTCATCTTGTTTCTGGTAGTGGCAGCATTGTTTCACACACTCCACTTTACCTTTCTTGTCCCCGCAGGGTTGCCGTGGTCATTTCCCGGATGGCTGGGCAAAGGTTTCAGCTGGCCTTATGTAAACCTTCCGCTGACTGCCTACTATATCGTGAGATGGATTTTGGGTGCTAAGCATTATCATGACCTGGACATTGACTATATTGGGGTTAGTAACATATTGGAAATAGGATTTACTTTTGGATGTTTATTTTAGAAAGTTTAGAAAGTAATTTGATTCATATTTTGTTCCATTGAAAAGATTTATAACCATACTTTATGTGTAGAACTACAATTTACATATTGCATTGTACTATGACTTGATATAGTTTTTATTTTGTAATTATTATGTGTATGGGTGTGTTGCTTGCATGTATGTCTGTGCATGTCATATCCTCAGAGGCCAGAAGGAGGCGTCCAATTCCCTGGGACTGGGAATTACAGGTGTTTGTGAGCCTTGTTGTGGATGCTGGGAATTGAACCAGGGTCCTCTGGGAAGAGCAGCCAGTGCTCTTTACTGCTGAACCATCTCTCCAGCCTTTGATATAATTTTAAGAAGAAAAAGGGGAAATATTTCAGGTTACAAAACTCAGAATAGACTTTCAAAAGCACTCTTTCTAAATGGATCAATGAGAAAAATATGTTCAGGGACTAGTTTTGTTTAATTCCTAGTCAGTGGGGTTAAAAGAAATCCCTGTATTTACATCATTGCCTCAAAAAAATAATACATGTTGGATTTTTTAGGGAATGTACAAATGGTTCTTGTTACTTCAATAAACAGAAAGTTGAACTCATATAACGACCATGAGAAAATCAAACCAAATCAAACCACGATGGAGTTGAAACTTGAAATAAAAAAGGCCTTGTTTCCTCTTTTGTAAGGAATGTGCTCTTTGCCTTCACTCGGCCCTTCCGCTCCACCTAACACTTGACTCTGTGGTGCTTTGTTGATTAACCTTTTTGTGCCATGAGATCCATTTGTTCTTTTGTTGTCTAAAGCACTGCAAGTGAACTGCAGGTGACCCCTTATTATTCTTGCCTTTGGACAACAGTGACTATTTCCTCTCTTTTAATTTTTTTCACAGTAAAACATTTTTAATTGGAAAGTTTTTTTTCTAATTTTATTTTTGTGATTATAATATAATTGCATTTCTCCCTCTTATGTCCTACCACCTACCCCTCCCCACTCTCCTCCAAATCCACGACCTTTTTGTTTCTCTAATTGTTATTGTGTACATATATGTGTATGTGTACATATATATTCCTAAACACCTATTCAGACCGTAGATTGTTACTTGCATGTATGTTTGTATGTTTCCATTTGGCATTGGACAAATGTCCAATGTGGAATTTCCTGGGGAACTTCACCCCCTCCCATGCTTCTTTGGTTGCCTGTAATTCTCTGTGTGGTGTTGAGGCCGCACAGGCATTTCCCATTCACTTTGGCATGTCTGTCGGTGTCATCCGTGTTCAGCTCACAGTTGGGCAGTCATGTTGGGGAGACTTTATAGGAGCTGTTTCTGACGACACCAGGAGGCATGTCTCACAGCAAACTCCCCATTTCTGGTTCTTGCTGTCGGTCTTGCTGCCTCCTCTACTGGAATGTTTTCTGAGCCTTGGGCGAGTGTGGGAGTGTTTTGTAGCGTGGGGCTATGTTGTAATATGAGCAGCGGGGGTGCGTCCCCGGCACCCGGCCACCCACATGGCTAGCTCTAGCTTATGTCCTGAAATAATTACATGGAAACTGTATTCTTTTAAACACCACTTGGCCATTATATCTAGCCTTTTCTCGGCTAACTCTCGCACTTGGACTAGCCCATTTCTAATAATCTGTGTAACCCACGAGCTGGCTTACCAGGAATGATCTTAACCTGCATCTGCCTGGAGTGGGAGAATCATGGAGACTCCTTGACTCAGTTTCTTTCTCCCAGCATTCTGTTCTGTTTACTCCTCCCACCTATGTTTTAACCTATGAGGGCCAAGCAGTTTCTTTATTGCTTAACCAATGAAATCAACAGATTGATATATGACACTCCCACATCAGGGCTAGACTCCACTACTCTGTGTTTTGATTGGCTGTGGTTAGTAATTTTTTTGGTGCCAGTCCAATTCAAATTCTCCTTCAAAGCTTTTTCTAGTTCTTAAGCAATAATATTGTTTCTTTACACTTTAAAAGTTATTCTCATTCTGATGAATATCTTCTAAACCAGGAATTAGCTGATTTTTTTTTATAAAGAGCTAGTGTATAGATATTAAGTTGGCACTAGTAGTAGCTCATAGGCAATATTAAGACGTAATCACTTGCAGTATAATCATTTCAAACTGAAAACTGTTTACACTCTCAGACCTTGAAGATAAAGGTGGCGGGCAAGAGTCTGCAGGCTGTTGAAAACCTGCGTCCTTCTGTCCGAAACTGTTTATAACATACTGTAATGTGTTAAAAAGTGTAAAGCATACTGAGTTTGTGTGTTGGGGGCCGGCCACATACCCTATGATGCCTCGCATAACTGTAGTGGGTCTCCATTAGCATATGCATTTTAATACAGCACTGACTAAAACTGATATTGAAGTTTTCATATACTCGCGATTTAAATTATTAGCCAGTGCTTCCTGAGTTCCTACTGTGTGGCAGAGCTGTGCCTGCCATGTTCCAGCAACATCAGATTAGTGAGCTCTTGGAAGCGAGAGGCAGGCACTGCCGCAGATCCTCAGTCCTCCTGTAGGATGATAGAGGATGAGGATGAGCCCTGGCCACAGGACGGCAGAGAGCGGGATGCTCGCTTTTACTCTCCCTTTCCAGATTATAGCTGACAGTTTGTGTCTGGAAATTGTTTTTAGTGTTGGTATATTTAACCCAGTAGTGTGGTTAGAAGCAGATAGAGTGCCCAGTTTTATCTTTAAGATGTGTCAATCTTCACTAAATATTTCCAGTGAGTGACGCTGACGCCTCATTTTGTTCCGATGTCTCTAATAATCACGTGCTGTGGTGAGACATTCTGTAATAAGAATTGCTCTATTACACCCAGACCTTAGGGTCATCTCTTTAATGGTTTTCTTTTGTCACTGAAACTCTCCCCTCATGATTCTGAACTCTAGAGAGCAGAGTGTGTTTCGTTTTACTCGTCCTGATTAAGAGCCTACTCTTTGGTTCTTGCTGATCATTACATTTCTCACTGTAAACAAATTCCTTCTATATAGTGCCCTGGTGAATAATTTGCTTGTTACTATGTTTCTATATCAGAGTTATTTCAATGACTCTCATACCTATTAGTTCTCCAGCACCCACTGTACTCTTTGTACACATTACAGTTCTGTTTTCTTCTTTTTTGAGAGAATACATACTTTGTTGTTGTCAATCTCTGGAATAAATGATTTATTTTGAAAAAAATGATTTTATGTATGTGAGTGTTTGCTTGTGTGTGTGTTTGTGCACCACATATATGCTTGCTGCCCTTGTAGGCCAGAAGAGGGCGCTGACTCTCTGAGAGCTGTGGTAGAGACTGCTGTGAGCCACCCCAGGGATTGGAGATGACTCTGGTTCCCTGAATACCATTGTGCACTCTCTCTCCAGACCCATAAATTACTTTGAAAAAATATTCTCTATTTTAAGTTTTGTTAAAACTTTTAATTTTTAAAAGTTATGTTGCTTTATAAACATATTTGTAAAGTTCCACGACAGGCATTTTCAAAAGACAGGAAACTAGTTCATCAGATATAATGAAAAATGGGATGAGAAGTGGCATTTTAATGAGAATGTTCATTTTCAGATATTTAAATACTTTGAACTGAGAAATTTTGGGTTTTTGTTTTGCAGATTTGGAATGAAAGGCCATTTGATGCCGACTATATAAAGGTCTGTAAAACTATATAATCTCTTTTTACTTATACTTTTATACACAGAAGTTTGGAAGACTTTGAAATGTTGGTTTTTGACAGCATAATTAATTTACTAAATGTGCTATAAAATTAAATTCTTCATGTCTATGTTCCTGCTATTGAAAAGTCTGTGTGCAATTCTTCATAGGCCCTGAATGACCTATCTGAAGAGTTGGGTTCAATGTTGAATGTTGGGGTAAGGTTGTGACTTACAGTGGAATTCATGCTTATTTGAATCCCTTCAGCACCAGAAGGAAAAAGAAAATGAAGCAAAACATTAGGTAGGTGTAGTGGCACACCTTTAATCCCAGTACCTGAAGGCAAAGGAAGGTCTCTGTGATTCTGAGCCCACTCTGGTCTACATAGTGAGTTTCAAGATAGGCAGGATTATATATCTCGACAAATAAGCAAAGATATGTACCAATGTAAATATGTATGCATATCTATGTAATAGCTTTATAATTCTGATAAATGTTATAAAAGCAACATATTATTTTAGATTTTAAAGACTCAAGAAATTTAGCTTTATTTGTTTATCATATTTCTGAATTTCATTCAAATATCCATGATATTGTTCTTGTGTCTTGTGGTTCCATTTCTGGCTGTGCTAAGATCCTCTGACCAAAAGCAACTTTGGGAAGGAAAAGGACTTATTTGACTTACATTCCCAAGTCAGTCCCTTACTGAGCCGAATCAGGGCAGGAACTTAAGAAGCTTGGAGCAGAAACCACGGGGGAATGGTGTTGCTGGGCCACTCTCAGTTTCACGCGTAGCTAGCCCAGGGCCATCTGCGTAGGGATTGTGCCTCCCATTGTGAATTAGACCTTCCCACAGCAGTTAACAGTCAAGGCAGGCCCCACAGACGTGACCACAGGCGAATTGGATCTGGGCAGTCCCTCAAATGACACTCCCTTCTCATGTGACTCTAGCCTGTGTCAAGTTGACAGTTAAAGCTAGCTAGGGTAGAGCATATCACATAACACGGCTCTGTTTGCCATCTCTGGAGAGTAGTACCCAGTATTTGTAAATCTTATTTCACTACTTTTCTTGGATCACTCTAATACCATCAAGTCCCTCCCATGAGGTGGTTGCTATTACCAGTTTCCAGGAAACAGAAAACTGAAATGATTTCTGTTATTGGAAAAACCCAGTAGTTTTACTTTCCATACTTAGCATTCACTAGTTTATTTCCCATCTCTATTTGTCTTGTCTATGTCACTTTTCTCCAAGAAATATTTTGTAACTACATTTTGTTTAAATTTTTGCTGTTTTTCTTCAAATCAGATGCATATGCTTCTAAGATATCATTTCCAATGGATTTATTTTGCTTACTCATTCAGTCAGCAAAGCAGCAGGTATTTCGTTCAGTACATACTATGTCAGCATAGTATATAGTATATACCATGTCAGGCATTGTTAACATTTTTGGAATGCAGTGATAGAGAATACTGTTAATGACCAAAAGAAGTATTGGCAAAGGGATAGAGAAAAAAATTAGTCATAATTCTTATAAAAGAATAATAAAAAAACTGTTTTTTCTGAAAGTGACTAGAAGAGATGGACTTTGTCCCTGGCTTGGTTAGGGAGGTCTGTTGAAAGATTAAGTGCAGCTGTAACCCCCGGGCTGCTAAGGCAGCCCATGGTATTAAAGTCACAGCTGAGGGTGACGGGAAGAGCACTTGTAAAAAGATGCATCAGACCAAAGAGCGAGAGAGACACCGAGCCCAAGCAGTAGGCTCCTGGCGTCCCTGGAGTGAGGGCATATTTTAGCAACTTTGTCGTCAGCGAGGAGGTAGGGTATTGTTTTGAGAGCATCCATTGCAGCCACATTGCAGCTCCATCCAGAACATGCTTGTGTCAGTGCCAGGCTGCAGGCCTGACGTAGGGTGGTAAGCAGGTGATGTCAGTGCAGTAGCAGAGAGGTGGATTATTCTGGAGACAAGTGCAAGTGCCATGGTCTAGGAGCACAGGTTTAGGTTCCTTCAGATTTCATGTTCCACTATGGAAACAGTTTTATTATTATTATTATTATTTTTATTAAAGATTTCTGCCTCCTCCCCGCCACCGCCTCCCATTTCCCTCCCCCTCCCCTGATCAAGTCCTCCTCCCTAGTCAGCCCAAAGAACAATCAGGGTTCCCTGCCCTGTGGGAAGTCCAAGGACCACCCACCTCCATCCAGGTCTAGTAAGGTGAGCATCCAAACTGCCTAGGCTCCCCCAAAGCCAGTACGTGCAGTAGGATCAAAACCCATTGCCATTGTTCTTGAGTTCTCAGTAGTCCTCATTGTCCGCTATGTTCAGCGAGTCCGGTTTTATCCTATGATTTTTCAGACCTGGGGCAGCTGGCCTTGGTGAGTTCCCGATAGAACATCCCCATTGTGTGGAAACAGTTTTATAGCAGGGGAACAAAGAAAAACACACAACAAGACACTTGTCCTATGCATTGGTGGACACATTAAATAGGTGGTTACAACAAAGCAGAATGGTTAGCTGGAGGCTTCAGATGTGATCTGATGATACCCCGAGCCCCTTGGCTGGTAGAAACTAGGGTTCTACATCTGTTAAACAGTGCATCTCCTCAAGTGCTCTGTTAGTCATGGGACGGTAGGACCACAGAGGTGGGCAAGGAATAGTGATTTAAGGGGTTAAAGAATTGTAATTAGCTCAGGACCTGGCATGTCCCAGCCTCTCCCCATCACTGAAGCTGTGATACATTTACTGCTCTTTCTGGATCTTGTTCATAGAGGTGTGGGAGTGAGTTGGGTATGGGAGATGGAACAGTGGGCTTATTAGAAAACTGAAGCACAGGATTGTAAGTGGAAGGCTGTGAGTCAGAAAGATGCAGGGACGGATGCTGAAGGTGGTGCCCGCCTAGCATAGTAAGAATAGTGTTTGTTTCATTTCTAGGGATGTTAGAATTTTTGTTTTGTTTGTTTTGTCTTTTGTGTTTTGAGACAGGGTTTCTTTGTAGCTTTTGGTTCCTGTCCTGGAACTAGCTCTTGTAGACCAGGCTAGCCTCGAACTCACAGAGATTCTCTTGCCTCTGCCTCTTGAGTGCTGGGATTAAAGGTGTGCGCCACCACCGCCCGGCCGGAATGTTAGAATTATTAATATTTGGTTTCCATTTTCTTTTAAGTTAGTAATTTAATTATTGCTCTAAAATTCACTGGCATTGTTTTGAAGTCAGACTTCATTTAACTTTCTTCTGACCTTGGGGTTTTCCTACACTAATATCTCTGGATATAGAAGCATTTAATTTATATGTTTTTATAGCAGGGGATTTATTGGATTCTGTATTCCTTTGGAATTCCTATTGCAGCATTAAATAATGACAAATGAATATAGGGAGATGTTAAGTTCACATGACCTCAACGAATACATGGTCCTCATTGTGTGAGAAGATGGCTTCTGGAGAGAAGAGGACTTCGTTTTTAAGAATAAAATATATATGATACAAGTTTTTTATGTATCACTTATTTTAGGATTATGTTTGCTGTGCAGTTACATTCATGATTGACTCTGGTTCATGGTAGTTTGTGATCATGGTGTCTGAGAGTGATGGACAGATGTGGGTGTGTAAGCCTCTGGGCCTTCTTTACTCATCAACAGATAAAATGGATGTAGATTTTGGGAGGGATGGATCGCTTGATAAAGATAACATTTGAGATAGGATAAAATTCTGTACAGAGTGCTGTAATCATATCAGACAGAAACTGATTTGTAAATCAGAGCTTACAGATTACGTGCATTTAAAAATGTTTTCAATTGCACTGCATTTGAATATACACACATTTCCTGATTATTGTTTAGAAGTAAGTCCATAAAGACTAGACTAGGTTTTGACGGTCCTCAGAATGCAAAATGTTCCAAAGATTCTCTGGCTATTTTGGTCATAGTCTAACAACTAAAAGCTGGTTAACCTTTGCTGTGATCTATTTATGTCTCCAAAGGAATTAAGAAAAATGCTGGACTACCATGGTCTGCAGCGAGTGAAAATCATAGCAAGTGATAATCTCTGGGAGCCGATTTCTTCTTCCATGCTGTTTGACCGTGACCTCTGGAAGGCGGTTGATGTTATAGGGTAAGGTGCAGCTCCCTTAGATTACCAGCAGTTCATGGTTTCTTTATCTGGGTGTTGACTGTGCATTTCTTCTCACCTTCTCTACCCCTGTGATTACATTTCATTCAGTATTCACTCAATAAGACATTGATCTCTCACAGTTCATTCCTTTCTCTTTGAGATGTGTTTTGGGGCATTTTCTATGATAATGAAATGTATTGGTGACTTTTTCAATAAATGAGTTAATGTTTAGATGAATAAAACAGGGCTTTATTTAGATTAGAAGGTAGGTATGTAGTCTTGGATGTTACCAGGGCAATGTTGTGAACTTAGTGTCTTGCTCAGGCCTCCTATGATGTGACTCCGAGTTCATGCACGAACACTTTGTAAGTGGCTTGGTATACGCCCTGACTGTCTTTTCTTCTTGTACCCTTAGCATTTTGACTCTTAGATGTCTGACTCTTAATTATTCAATCTAATTTTATAATTTATAATCTATTTTATAATTTAATTTCTGCCATATAGCTCTCTGGGTCCTTACTGAACTGTGCTCAGAAGTTCAATTTTTTTAAAAAGTAAACGTGTGTTCTGTGTATTATGACAGTATATAAGCATTTAAAACTAGAGTCTGCATATGCATGGAATTTGATTTTTAATCTATTGTGACACAGCTTAATCTCTGATATACTTTGTTTCTAAAAGAAAAATTTTAGATTTTTTTTTTAGTGTTTTATTTTTATCTTTGATTTTCAGTGCTGGGGACCAAACCCAGGGCCTCATACATGCTAAGGCCATTGAGCTATACTTTACCATTGAGCTATATCCCCTTGCAAGAGTTTTCAATGTTTACAAAAGTAAGCAGAATAATAAATATGTATGTTCTGACCACTCGCTCAGCCTCAGAAAATAAGAACCCAGTGCCATTTTTCATTCCTGTGTCAATCCATTTCTTTTCCCATCTTCATCATGTTTTCTTTTTTTTTTTTTGAATTAGAAACATATGAAGTCTAATTTACTTATTTTCGGTTTGACCATTCTGACACCAAGTCAACAAGTCTCTCAGTGTTTTAAAGCAGAGTAAAAACATTTGAAAGGTACAAAGAGCATACAGCTCTTCAATGAGAAAATTAAATATGAGAGCACAGAACAGGATTCCCAGCAATCGAAAGACTATGACATCTCTGACGTCACTCCTTACGTGTGTGTCTGTGTGTGTCTGTGTGCATGCATGTGCACAGACACACACACATTTGTACACAGATATGTATAAATATGTAAAATAACATGTGCATATATAATGAATAAAATATGTTTTCAAAAAACAGTGTCTTATTTGGAGGCTATGTTTTTCTCATTGTCAAAAGGCAGCAGAAAAATATTACAAAACATATGACAATGTGATTAGCAACTTGTTATTTTTTTAAAATTAATTTCAAAAATGTTCATAAATTTATTAGAATCTTCTTTAAAAAAAACTAAATGAATGTTCCTTCATCATGTTTTCATCATGCCTTCCTAAAGATAGTCTTTCCCTTTTTGCCATAAATAATACCGCTATTATACCTACGCATGTAATTGTTTCTTGATATTATCAAATATGTATTTTTCTTATTTTGTAATTTTATTTGTATCTGCATCCATTTAAGATTCATCTATTGGTTGGTAATTAAGTCTCTTTCCATTGATTTATAATTCAGTTCCTTTAACTTCTTGCTTATTTTCTTCTTGTAACTTACTTAAGTGACTGGATAGTTTGTTTTGTAAAGTTTTCCTAGTCTATATTTTAACAATTTCATCCTTGTACTTTAACACACATGCCTATCCTGTTTTTCTGGAAAATTGATGAGAGTAAATTAGATATGGGATTTTTTTGTAAGAGAAAGTGTAATTGTAAATTTATATTAAACTTTTTTTTTTTTAAATGGAAGATTTTGCCTTAGAATCCACTTGAACAGCTCAGATCTGAAGGAGGAAAGACTGTTTTTCTTGAACGTGTTTGGCTGGCAAGGCTGTCGGGAGTGAAGGATAGTTTCTGTTGTACTTCATAAAGAAGTGTGGTGTTTCACTGCTCATTAGTCATATAGGTATTGTAGTGCAATTAGTCTTCCTCTGAGCGATAGCATTACTTCATAGTTTCTTTTGTTCTCATTAATTTAATGTTTTATTGATTGTGGTCATATAATGGTAAATGTATTTAAATGCTTTTTCTCAAAAATTGCTTTTTGACTTAGGATGTATTTGCTAACAGAAAACAGGTTGGTTGAGTATGTAAATTCACTGGTATAGTTTAAATGCTCTGTATACTAATTATATTGTTCACGTGATCTGTGTGGAGCTGCTATGTACATCTCTTCCTAGTTCAGTGCTGACTGTTTCGGTCTTACACGGTTGTTTGCATGGGAATTGGTGTCATGTTACTTGGCACATAGATAATGGATGTTTTATCTTTTTGTGTGTTGTAACTATTGTCGATAGAAAATATTATTCTGTAACTTATTCAGTATTTCTTGAACTGAATTCTTCATTGAGATTAAAAGAAACCCTGCTTTCAGTTTTTGTTACTTTAAATTTTTTTTTATTTTCAAAGTCATTTTATTTTAGATATATTTCTTGCATTGAATTAAATTTTGCTTTCTGATACTGCTCTGAAAAAGGTCTTCATATTTCTTTTCTTTTTAAATCTCTCTCTCTCTCTCTCTCTCTCTCTCTCTTTCTTTGTATGTGTGTGTGTGTGTGTGTGTGTGTGTGTATTTTCCCTTGGAGACCAGAAGAGGATCTTGAATCCTCTGGAGCTGGAGTTAGAGGAGTTTGTAAGTTGTCTGTTATGGGTGTTTGGGAACTGGATTTGCAGCAAGCTCTATTGACCACTGAACCATCTCTCCAGCCCACATTTACAATTTTTGGTGTAACTGATGTTTGTGTTTTACATGTGCAGATATTTTCTGTTATTTGATGATGTGTCCTGTGATTCTGGCAAGGCAAACTCTGCTGCTGTGGTGTTTGTCTTCTTGGTTCTTGCTTAAGGAGATGTCTTCCTACTTCGCAAGACTTGCTTTTGTTTCTGCAGGTCTCAGCCATTCTGATTCATAGCTTGCTACTGGTTGTTTCAGATGGGGATCATTTTATCTCCAAGGAAACATTTGGCAACGTCTGGGAGTGTTTGTAAATATCTTAGATAAAGACCTGTTGTTAGCATCTAATGGGTAGATGCCGGAAGTGTTTGCAGAAATTCCAGGGTACACAGCTCAGCTCTCCCATGTTTATAACCAGCCCACGATTTTGGTTGTGCTGAAATTGAGGAACTGCTCTATGTTCCTGTGCTCTTCCCTATTTTCTTTTGGTTTTGTTATTGTTTGTTTTTTCAAGCAGAGGTGATGAGGATCAAACTGCATCTGGGATTGTTATTTTCCATGCTAGGTGAGCTAATGAATTACCGCAGAGTGTGCATACATATGGGCCTATCACCCAGGAAACTGTAAAGGACCCAGGCAGGTTGGAAACCTTTCTGTGCATTTGCCTCAAATTGTAGCTATTATCCTGACCTCTAACAGCAAAGAACAGAAAATTTCATTGCCATGCCATTTCATAGAGGAGCATAGCTTTCCCCTCAGTTGAACACTTAGAAATTGATCAGTAAGGAAAATAAATAAAGCAGTTCTCATCTTTTTAACTTAAAAGCTTTACCAGCAAAAAAAAAATCATGGAAAAAGTAGTTCTGTCTTTAGTATTTGTACATCAGTTAGACATGAATGTCTTTAGAAAAACCAGGGAAGTATATTTCTCTTCAATGCTTCTCTGAACTTTGTATGAACTTTGAACTGCTAACCTTTCAGATCACTTCTATATTTTTTTAATAACTTATAAAATTATGCACACCTTTAATCCTAGTATTCAGAAGGCAGAAGCAGGCCGGTCTCAAGGTTTCAACAAGCTATTTGTATAATTGCATTGTTGACCACGTAGGATGTTATTATCGGTTGCTCATTACAGATTCCAGGTAAGAAGGAAAGATATTTAATGTGGGTTTTTTTTTTTCTGTTGTTTTCTCTGGCCAGGGCTGATGTTAAATCATCCTTGTGACTTCTGTCTAAGAGATGTGATTGCAGGCTTGCGTCATCGTACCTACCTAATATGATTTCATGACAATAGTTTATGCTCTAGAAAGCCTTCCCTAGGTCAGAATGGCCTAGAACGCTTACTCGACTGAGCAATTTTGTGGTGTTAAATCCTTCCTCATGGTTATTTGTATTGTTTCTAGGTTTTGGTCTTCTGAGATATTCATTCCTTCCAGGACGGTTCTGCTGGGCCTGTTCTCCTAAGGTTTCTGGGTACTTTCCCTCGCTGTAAACACGGCCCCTGATTTAGTCTGCCATTCCTGAAGGGGTTGTTTGTTACTTGTTGTTGAACTCGCTAAGGCCTTAGGCTTGCCTTGTCTGATATACTAGCCACCAGTCAGTCACGGGTGTCTGTGGATCACCGGGAATCTGACTGATCTACTTTAGGCGTGTCAGAAGTGGGAGGCAGACTTGTCATTGGAGGCTGTGCTTTCATTTCCCAGCCACCCAGTCCCAGGGAATCACACAGAAACTTTTATTAATTACAAATTGTTTAGCCTATTTGTAATTGTTCAGGGCTATTAACTAGCTCTTACAACTTAAATCAACCCATTTCTAGTCTATATTTTGCCGTGAGGCTTGTGGCTTGTTAACTCACATCTTGCTTCCCTGGCAGCTGCTCTCATCTCCCCTGACTCCACCTTCTTCCTCTATCTCTGCTTGGATTTCCCACCTAGCTATATTCTATCCTGCCATAGGCCAAAACATCTTCTTTACTAACCAATTGTAATAAAACATATTCAAAGCATACAGAGGGGTATAGCACATCCTAGACTAGGTTTTGAAAATTAATCAAAATCAAAAAACATCTTTTATAATTTTTGTATTGATTACATGTTAAATGATGATTTGGTATGCCAAATTAAATTAAATAATTCAAAAGATATAAACAAAGCTCAAAGATAAATATATGAGGTATATTTAAGATAAGAGAAATATTCAGATCTATACAGCTCCAAAAAACCTTAAGAGAAATATAGTTCAGATAGATTATAAAATTGTAAAATGTAGAAATAGTTTGGAAGATGTGTACCATTATAAAGACAGAGTTAAATTTACTCCTATTATGATCCTCTAAAGATCAATGATAGTGTAGCAAATGTCCTAGGATTTTCCTCCTTTAAAAAACACAGATATAAGTATATGTTCATTGTCTGCATCAGACAAGCCGGGTATGGTGGCTCATGCCAGTGGGACCTGGTCACAGAAAACAACAAGTATAGCAGACATACATGTTCCAGATTGCCAATTAGAAATATCCTAATTTTTTATATATTGACAATTTGTATTTACTGAAGTGCCAAAACCGAACACAGTGATCACAGTATAAAGTGAGGGGATATAGAAATGAGATGTAAGAATATGTTAGACTATGTTAGAATTATAGGTTTGCAGTCATTAGTAGTTTGAAGATTAGCAGTTTGATTTTTTAAGTTTGGCCTAATAAGGTAAGTACATAATTTCTTAGACCCAGAGGGAGCTGAGATGCTCTTGGATGTTCGCCAGGTTGACCTGCAGCTTGACTCAGCTGTGCTGAGCCGCTCAACATGGTCCTATTGGAACTTCACTTCTCTCCAGCGTCTCTGTTGGTGCCCTGTTATATGCCAGTCAGTTCTTCCTGCCATTCATGCTATGCCTCAACTCACCTTTACTGATCCAAATGATTCCCAAGCAGGGCTTTCTGCTAAAATGACCTGGCCTAAGATGATATTGATTAAAAGGTCTTTAAAGTCATTCTTTTGGTGGTGTACTACCCAAGAAAGTACGAGGATTAGAATTGTTGCATATTAAATCTCCATTATTCTGCTTTGTATTTATCCTGCTTGTTTGTGAATAATCAGCCTGGGAAGTTTGTACTCTTACTCTGAAGTTTAGCAAATATGCTCTTTTTACTGTATCACCTATCAATCTAGTTTCTAATTTACATTTAATATCTTAGTCATATTGATTCATTTAATCGGTAGTGTCTACAGTTGTCATGAGAACAGTATTTTATCCTTGCAACAATTGGTGTATATTTATACTTTACCAGACCGAGTCTGTTCCCATGCTAGAATGAAAGGGCCTGGTCTTCTGGGACAGATTCTCAGTTGCTGCACTTTTGATGTCTTACCTAGGCATTTCTTTGTCGTTGGAATCTGTCCTCTGTCTTGTAGGCTGTGTAGCGGCATTTGTGGATTCTGCTTACTAAATTCAGCTGTTAAACCTTTCCTGTTTCAGCAGGGACAGTTGACAAAGTGTCCCACTATTGCTGCCTAGGCCCCTTCAGGACTGAAATCCCCATGGCTGAAGATAACTACCGCTCTGAGACAGTAACTTAATTTTCTCAGCGTAGTTCATTCTTTTCACACAAGAATTAGTGATGCACTATTATCGGTGCAGCTTTTGTGGCTTTGTTTCAGAGCTTTACCTTGGAGTAAGTGCCAAGATTTCTCTCTCCAAAGGACAGGAATATGGGAGAGGTTGCTTCTTCTTTGGTTGGGCACCTCAAGTTGGGCAGTGGTGGCACACACCTTTAATCCCAGCACTCGGGAGGCAGAGGCAGGTATATCTCTGTGAGTTCGAGGCCAGCCTGGTCTACAAGAGCTAGTTCCAGGACAGGCTCCAAAGCTACACAGAGGCCCTGTCTCAAAAAACCAAGAAAAAAAAAAGACTCACCTTGCTTGACCTTTTCCTGGGTGTTTTCCTCCTGTCCAAAGCTCCCCAGCTTCCCCTGGAAAGGGCAAATCTTTCTTTGTTCTTCACTTGTAGTGGTCCAGATTGTGGCCACTTTAACCTTCGTCAGTCAACTTACTTCCATCTGTTTAAGGTTTTGTGAATATTGTCATTTCATTCTGTGCATGGCTGAAGGTTCTGCCTTTCTGTCTACCTGCTGTCATTTGGAGAGTGCCCACAATGGGAGAGTGGGAAGTGGTTGCCTCCTTCCCATCCTCCATCTTTCTTCTGGAAGCTGCTTGACCGAATTAAAATAGCAGACTTTGGCAAAGACGTGTATTCCAGCTCACTCATCTCCCGTATGGAAGTGGTACCTCTGACCGCTCCCCACTGCTACCCTTGGTTTTCTCTTCTAGAGCTCATTATCCTGGAACCCGGACAGTGTGGAACGCAAGGATGACAGGGAAGAAGCTTTGGTCGTCGGAAGATTTTAGCACCTTCAACAATGATGTTGGTGCAGGCTGTTGGGGTCGCATATTGAATCAGAACTATATCAATGGCAATATGACCTCGTAAGTTATTTGTAGTCTTTTATTATATTGTATTTATTATTATAATGTATTTTACAAAATACAATAAGTAGAAAAGTATAATGGGCCGCTGTAATTTCATGCTCTAGATTCAGTGGTTTTTAACATATGCTTTATTGACTTAATCTACATATGCCTAATATTTGTCTAATTTATGCCTTCTTTTCTGCATGAATTTGATGATTTATGTTTGAGAAGAGTCTATATTAAGTAATGTTTTCATTGAGGTACAGTCTACTCAGGCAGAGCAATGATCTTTGATAATTTGCATATATTTTCAATTACTTTGTGTCATTTCATACCTTCATATTTTAGTGTGTATCTCCAGAGCATTCGGATATTTTCTCACATTATTATATTATTTTCATAAATATGAGCATAGGAAATATTTCTAATTCTTAGTCTTTATTCATATTTTTAAAATGTCATTTGTAACTTTTATTTATTTTAAAGAAGATATAGCACAGGTCTGTGCATTCCATTTAGCAGTTTTGGTCCCTGCCTCTTTTAATGTGAAATTATTGACTCATCTTCTTTTCATAGCTACCTTTAAAACAAACAAACAAACAAACAAGAAACCAAGGTAGTAGCCTTTTGTTGGTACCCACATTCATTTTGAGTGGCTGAGTCCTTATGGGATCTCTTAACTTTAATTCTATACAAAACCAAGTTTGTAAAGACAACACAATCACTTTTATCCTTAAAGGAACATTTCCTAAATGATTTGATGACAGCTAAGGAGTAATTAGATGCCAGTTAGCCTTATAAGATAATTGTAAGTCTAATAAAAGCAAGCCAATATGCATACTTTTGTGGTTGCTTGTTCGGTATTAGGGTGATGCATCTTCTTTGCAGACACTGAGAAAATGAAGATGAGTAACAAGTGAGACAAAGCTGCCTTTAATGTTGCCATCTTGAAATAATGGTCCTTAAAACATCCCCTTATTTTTATAGACTTTTAATTAATATATTGACACCTTGGTATATGGTCTGTTGAGCAAGCCGCTTCTTACTTAACAGGGTATTGTGACGTTTTTCTCGTGTTAAGTATATTTTTACATCTCGTGCTTTTTGTTTTGTTTTTGAGACAGGGCCTTCCTATGTTGCTTAGGCTGGCCTTGAACTCTCTATACTCTCGCTCAATCTCCTGAGTGCTGAAGTTATGGGCATACACCACCACTTCCAGATACTTATCATACATCCATATACTCTGTCACATAAACAAGTATTTCCTAACTATGCCCTGTCTTAAGACATCATGCAGTTCCTAAGCAGCTGCTCACTTCTAAGGTGCTTGTACATCTGGTCAGTACTTAGGGCAGTTCTGTTGATGCCCAAGATTGGGAAACACTTAGAACAAAATAGAGGATGCCAGCCATGTGTGACCCAGATCATGAGAACTCTTATGATGTTCTCCACTGATAGTGTGTGTGTGTTTTATTAGCATTATTATTTTTGCTTTATATTGAGGGAATGAGAAGGTTTAGATTTTCTAAGCATGCCAGAATAGCTTTGTGTCTTGGGAGAGCACTTGGTCAGGGAAGTGGAATTCTTAGGTGGGTGCTGTTAATATATCAGCTGTAAGGAACCTATAATGTTTTGTGCTTGAATTTTCTGAGAGCTGTAGGACTGTACTGCTGGAGCTGGTATGTGCTGTAAAGTGTTAGTGTCTCTCACCTGAAAGAAAGGGCCCCAAATAGGCCAGCAGGCTATCTGAGTTGGTACTTTAGCACTTTAGCGGAAGGAGGAAGAATAGAGGCAGGGGTTGTGTCAATACAGTTAATCCTCCCAGCCACCTGGTGATTCAGGTGTAATCATCATCTTCAGTCCACAGGGGAGGGAACAGCGGTCAGCAGAGGTGAGGCTGTGGAGTCCTGATTTGAACCCAGTCTAGGAGTCCTTGTTTTCAAACTGCAGCAGCTCCAAGTCAAGTTGGTGGCAATCACATTATGAAGGTGGGGGCCTAGGAAGGCTGTCCATGAAGAGCAGTTATAGATAAGCTCTTACTTGTACTGATTTTGCATTTTGACATGTCAGGTTAGCCTGAATTCTTGCATATAAATGTGTGAATGTAAATGTGTATGCATGTGTTTTACATGAATACATATGTGTGTTTTCAAGAATATATACATGTGTGTGTTACTTTTAATTCTCTGATTCACTGTTAAAATGCTCGGCTGTGCACTGCGCTGAATTTTTAAAGATGAGAGTGAACTGAGACATATATTTTGTTTGGGGTATTTAAAAGTTTATGTTCACTTACATATCATTCTGAGATTTTTACTCCAGTTGTTTAAATATTTATATTACATAGTACTTTGGTGTTTCTTCTTTTTCAACTTAATGTTTTAGCACAATTGCTTGGAATTTGGTGGCTAGTTACTATGAGGAATTGCCTTATGGGCGAAGTGGATTGATGACAGCCCAAGAGCCATGGAGTGGGCATTATGTGGTAGAAGCTCCTATTTGGATATCAGGTATGAATGTCTAGATTCCATCTCTCTCTCTCTCCACAGAAAGCACCGAAGGAGGTTATCAAACTGTCCATGCTTCAAGTGTTTGACTCTTTTAAGGGAGTTATGCCAGTGTTTCATAATACTATTTTGGGTAACCTGACTGTTTTCTGTATTTTATACTTGGCTATTCTAAGATCAGGCCCTTATAAAGGGAGAATAAAGAGGGGACAGATAGCACCATAGGGAAAGGGGATGCCCAGTGATGGAGACAGAGGTAATCATGTAACTTTATGATCCCAAATCATCATTATAACTGATGGAATGAATATAGTTAGAAATATCCAGCTAAGCTCAGCATGTCTAGGAGTTTTGGGGTTATTCTTTATATCAGTTCCATTTTATTGATTGCACTAATGTGAGTGAATATAATATATTAATTTTGATACTAATAAAATTATAATCATTAATCAAAAGAAATAAACATGTTATGTAAAATAATATGACTTTACAGTGGTCCCTAAATCTACTCAGTGTTTGAAGATATACAACTGTAGGTAGAGTTTTCTCATCCCAGCAGCCACTTCTTCCCAAATAACCACAAGATAGTCTTATTATTAATTACAAATGCTCGGCCGATAGCTCAGGCTTTTTACTAGCTATCTCTTACATTTTAAGTTAATCCACATTTTTTTTTTAAAATCTACCCTCTGCTATGTGGTTCATGGCTTGTTATCTCATTTTTTTTAATATTCCCTGCCTCCTCTGTTGGCATCTCCTCTGGCTCCATCCTTCTTCATTCCAGCATCCTTAGTTTGGTTGTCCTACCCATACTTTCTGCCAGTCAGCTTTTTATTAAACCAATTCAAGTGACAAATATTTACAATATAGCAAAGGATCATTCTATAGCAATGAGTTTTAGAAAAGATAAAATTATGACTCTCATATAGATTAAAAAATGGTCATACACTGAAGATTTTATGTTTCTCACATGAAAGGAAGAAACCAGGTAAATGCTAGAACGAGCTTAGAGGAAAAGTCATCAAGGCAAAGCAACTTGAGATTAATTATAGATGTAGACAAGATTAGTTTCTCACAACTGGGAGGAAATCAATTAAAATATCTTCTAGACATGACATAGTTTTCATGGCTCAAAGACAGGGCTGTCAGATCTACGTACTTCCAGTGAAATCCAGGTCTTCTTCAGTATCAGTCACATTCAAAGGAACATAACCATATTAATAGCTAATAACCTCATAAATAAGATAAATAACAATAGTGAAAAATTTTAATTTTAGTAAAATATTTAACATTTATATTTATTGTGTGTCAAAATTATACCATAGTCTTTAAAAACCCAATTTCTTCCAAAGAAAGATAATTCTAATTCAACTTGCTTTAATTTAAATCCACATTTTGAAAATTTTCTTTTTTTGTGTGTTATTCTCTGATTGTAATCATGGCATTAGTTTAAATTCCTTAAATAGCTCTTCAAAATAGTGGAAAAATTAAGCAAGACTTCTATGTGTTGGTTGGATAGCCTCTTAGTTGTTGGCATTGTTTCACTTAATTAGGTGAAGTAACCCTCTTCTAAATTTCTGACTTTGGGGCATTGGTAGGAACATGGAATACTACTTAGTTTATTTTCAGGACCAGATTCAGAGGTGACAGTACTTAGGAACAAATCTGTTTAAGACCAAATTATAAAATAGTTCTGAGATACATTTATTAACTTTTTAAAAGTTCCTTTTAAAAAATTCTTTTAATTCTTCCCTGCTCTGTTAGAGTGGAACAAGTACTGATGACCACGGCTTGGCAAGATTAACTTAGTTGTGTACTTTGAGAATGGGAATGCACAACCACTGTTCTTGAATTTCCAGGTTGATTTAATCTCATCGGTCCTCCAGAAAGCCCTCCTGCCTTTACACTTTTCTGCTGAAGTATTTAAAAAATGGAAGCATGAAAAAAAAAAAAAAAAAAAAAAATGGAAGCATGAAGTCAGGAGATAATTTCTTATAATAGAACATAGCTGGTTAGAATCAGTCAGTTCTTTCTAGCCGCTAGACTGTTTTCTTTTATAGTTGTCTCATTCACGTCTTCTTCTCTTTCTCTGTAGCTCATACAACTCAGTTTACTCAACCAGGCTGGTATTACCTGAAGACAGTTGGCCATCTAGAGAAGGGAGGAAGCTATGTAGCTCTGACTGATGGCTTGGGGAACCTCACCATCATCATTGAAACCATGGTAATGTTTTGTTGTTGGTCCACAACTAGTGGGCGCCTATTACTTCACCAGAAACTTGGTCTTCAGAGACGAGAAGGGCATTATGTTCTCCTGGGCATAGAGGGCACTTCTCTAAGAGTCTTATGACTGCTTCCCTTGGAGAAAGGTGGGGGAAAGGGTCTGATGGGTACCTTGCTCCTCATGTTGTTTCTAAGACTTCTTTATCCTTAAAGATATATTGGGATAGCTAGCCTTTATCCTCACAATGGCTTCTTAACACTCCTATGGAAGGTTTCCTGGGACCATGTGCGTCAATCCCTTTGGGGGTGTAGCTAGGAGCGGGCCTGGCCTGCCAAGTTAAATAGTAACTTTAATGGGGCAAAGATTGCCACTTGCCTGTGCCATTTCTCCTTGCTACCAGCAGTTCCTAAGGCTTCCAGTATCACCACGTCCTCTCTAGTAATTATTGTCCTTATCTTTGTATGACGATTCTATAGGCTATGAGGTGGTGTCATTGTAATTTGATTTACCTTTTCCTCATGACTGATGGTCCTGGCTGTATATTCATATGCTCTCTGGCTAGCTGTATGTCCTCACTAGAGAAATGTCTATTAAAATCTACACTGTCCATTTAAGTTAAGAGGATTTTTATTTTTCATCTTGAATTGTAAGAGTTCTTCATATAATCTATCTAACACCCCTCAGAAGACACATGTGGCTTCTGTGTATTTGCTCCCATCCTTATAGCATACGCAGGGTAGACCAGGCTAATCTCAGAGTCATAATCCTGCTGTGTCAATATCCCAAATGCTGTCGTCGCTAGGCCCAACCTGTCTCTCTCTTTCTAATGGCATTCTCTGAAGTAAAAATGTTCTAAACTTGTGTATTTTTTTGGTAAGATTGCCATTATTTTAAGTCTTACATTTAGGTTTCTGATCCTGTTATTTCTTGAGGTGCTTAGCATTTGTTCAGCTTCTTCCTCTGTGTGTGTGTGTGTGTGTGTGTGTGTGTGTGTGGTATGTATGCGTGTGCACGCACGCCTAGTTAGTCTTCCACCATGTCTTGAACAGTCTATTTTTCCACTTGAATTATTTTGCATACATGCTGAAAAGCAATTTTTAACAAAATTTGTTTTTTTTTTCCATACTTGTGCTGTATTGGTTACCATTGCATCTTAATCCCTATACTTCTGAGTGAGGGTTTGATGGGCGAGTTTAGCTTTGATCAATTTCAAGGTTGGTTATTTTGGGTACTTTGAATTTCAGCATGAGTTTTAGGACTAGCTCATTAGTTATTGCAAGCAGACAGCCTACGACTGATATTTTACTTACTCGGTATATGAATATGGAGAAGCATTTGCATTCTACCCTGCCACTCCACACATGTGGGGGTCTTTCTGTGCTTATGCCTTACTTAATTTCTCTATGATATGTTGTCTTTTTCATTGTGGAATTCATATTTCTTTTTATTAATTTAGTAAACTTATCTATTAAAATTTTAAATTTTTATTGATTTGTTTCTTATTAATATTGCTGGGTGTTTTATTCTTCCAGATCCTACTATAAATAGGTTGTCTCAATTTTATTTTCAGAGTGTTCATTTCTCAAGTGTAGAAATGCAATTGATTCTTATGTATTGATCTTGTCCTCACAACCAGTTCTTTCTGTGGATTACTAGAGGATTTTGTTTAAATGAGCACACCAAGTAAGTAAGATTCTTTTAGTCCTCCCATTATCATTCTAGAAACTTTGTGTTTCCTTTGCTTGCCCAGTTGTCCTGCCCTGCCGCTGATCTAGAAAGAAATATCACTGTAGAGTGTGCTTTTAGCTGCTGGTGTTGCGTCAGTGTGTAGAACTTCAGGTTGAGGATCTTGCCTTTTGTAGGCAGCGCGTTGAATCCTTTTAGTCAGAGTTCTGGTTTCCCCGCATGCATGCTTGTGCTGCTTTTGCCCGTTATGCACTCTGATCATGGGCTAGATTATCCTGAGTGACTTCTGTGTGTGAAACCACCCATGTGTGCCCGAGATTATCATCCTGACGTCATTCAGTATCCTCTGTATTCTGTATTGGATTCAACTTCCTAGATCCCCTAGGATTTCCTCTCCTCGTGATGCCTTGTTGGGTCTGGTAGGAGAATAGTTACTAACACCATGGAGTGATTTGGGAATGTTTCTAGAGAATTTCTTAAGATCTGGTGCTCTTCAAATGTTTGACAGAATTCATATATGATAGCATCTGGCTCCAGGATTTTTCTTCATGAGTTTAAGGATCTTTTCACTCATTGTAGGTCTGTTCAGATGGTATGTTTTCAGAAGCGTTGGGATTTTCTGTTTTTCTGTCTTTTATGTCTTTCAGATCTGTGTTGTTTAACACAGAGGTCTATGTTCAGTTCCTTTTCTACTCAGATACAGCTGGTAGGAATGTTCCTAATGTTCCTCTTTTGGTCCCAACCTTAGTCACTCAAGTCACGTCTCTTTCTTCTTGGTTGGTCTTCTAAAGGTTTATTTATCTTTCCGAGGGAATAATATTATTTTTATTTGTTTTCTGTGTTGCAGTATTTCACACCAGTATTTATTGTCTTTATTTCCCCCCTATGGATTTGCTTTGTTCTTCTGAAAACTGTTCAGCTTCTTGAAATAGAAGTCAAGGTTATTCCTTTGAACCTCAAATATATAAACATGAATCGGCTTCACTTCTTCTGTAGGCGGTGCTTTAGTGTACTTCATCCCTTTTCTGTTTCGTTTTAACATTTTTAATCACAAAGTATATTTTTTTTATTGTCCTTGTGATTTGTTTCTCGACTTTATTTCTCAGTACCAAGGTATCTTTATATTTGTGTTTCTGTGAAATTTGCAACTTTCATTGTTGGTGCTTCATCTCATCCCATTCTGATTGGAGAACGTACTTCCCAGTGTTCCTGAGAGGAGTTGCAGCTGTTGCCTTGCCGGTGGGCCATCCTGAACACTGACTGGCGCAGACTAGGTGCCCTGTTGCCTGTGGAATTCCACACGGCTCTTTCTTAGATCTGTTTGGTTGTTTGTGTTCATTTCTCTGCTGTGAATTATGACAAGTAAAATCTCAACCTTGTAGAATTGTCTACAATTCTCCTCTCTTCTGTTAGTTTTTGTTTTCTATGATTTTGAGATTTTCTTAGTGTTACTTCAGATATTTTAATGTATTGACTTCTGGCATTAAATTTTCTCACTGTTTTTATTTTTCTTTTGTTTTAAAATTGATTTTCCCTTTTTGTCATTGCTACTTTTTTGGTGGCATCTGTTAGTGTATTTATTTCCCTTAATCATTGTTTTCAGCCCGTTTCTTTGAACATAAAGCTTATCTCCTTTTCAAAAGCACATAGTTGGGTCTTGCTTTTCTTAAACTTATCTGGCATTGTGGTCCGATTGTTGAATAAGCACTAGTGTTGCTATGGTTGAGTTTATTTTTGCCTTGTGATCTTTGTTTTCCACAGTCATGATTTTGTTTCTATGTTGTATTCCTCCTCTGCCATTTTATTCCACATTTAGTGAGTGCTTTCTGAGGCTGCATTCTGTTCATTTAATAATCTTTTCACTATACTTTTGGGAGTTGCATCTTAGCGATGGTTTCAGAATTCACCGCCCATACCTTACTGCTTCAGGACCACTTTAGACTTCAGTTTTCTTTGTCCTGGACAGATGCAGGGGTGTTCTTCTGCCTTTTCATTCCCTTTAGGCTTTTATCTTTTCCCATTTTTAATTATACACATCACATTTCCAACAGGAAGAGAACAGAATGCTGTGAAATTATTACTTTAGATGATTTTTTAAGAGTGAAGAGAAGAAAAGAGGACAGTATATATTTATATCACCTGTTATATTTATTTTATCTATGGTTCTTGTTCTTTGGATATGTTTCTATGTATTTAACTTGCCATTAGGGTTATTTCCTTATTCTAAGCTTTGGCCAGGCACACTATCATTAAGGTTATGTTATGAATGTATTTTTTTATAGTTTGAAATAAATTCAAATTTGTTATAAATGTTTGCTTCGTTTGCTACTCTTCAAGCATTGATTATGTAAAGTTTCCCCCACAATATAGTGTGTATATTATTTGGATAACTTACATGACTCTCTTCCCTCAGAGTCACAAACACTCCATGTGTATACGGCCATATCTACCGTATTATAATGTCTCACGCCAGCTGGCCACCTTCACTCTCAAGGGATCTTTGGTAAGTACGTATGTTTGACTTTCATTTTGCTTTCAAAATTTGTGTTGGGGTTAGACAGATGGCCTAGTGGTTAAGAGTGCTTGCTACTTTCTTTAAAGATGGAAACCTCTGTCAAATAACTCACAACTATATATAACTCTAGCTACAGAGGATCTCTTGCCTTCTTCTGGCCTCCAAATGTCACACATGTGAGCATACAGAAATAAGCAAATAAAACAAATCTTTACAAATTTATGAAAATTTTGTGTTATATTACAGGCCATCAGTTCTTAAAGTCTTGAAGTCATGTATTATATAATTACTAAGAATTTGTATACAAATGGAACCTGTCCTGGTGCCTTGTATCTCCTGCATTTCCCTTTTAAATAATAGTCTTACGTAATAGCTGGTCTAGCCTGGCCTCACTACACAGTGGAGGATGACCACAAACTCCTGAGCATCCCACCTTTTCCTGCTGAGAGCTGGGATCACAGCCCTGTGCCAGTACACCTGCTTCAGGGGGTGCTGGGCAAGGAATGCTAGGCAAGCCCGCCACCAGCTGAGCCACGTTAACAGCCTCTTCTGACCTTCTGACCTTCACAAACAAAAACAGAGGCCAGAACAGGACAAAGCTGCCTGTGGCTGTGGGGACTTGGAAAGCTATCAATGGTGGTCTAAGATCAGTTCTGTGGCCTAAGCGATTTTCCTTCCTCCCTCCCTCCCTCTCTCCCTCCCTCTCTTTATTTCTTTCTTTTTTTGGTTTTTCACGACAGGGTTTCTCTGTGGCTTTGGAGCCTGTCCTGGAACTAGCTCTGTAGACCAGGCTGGTCTCGAACTCATAGAGATCCGCCTGCCTCTGCCTCCCGAGTGCTGGGATTAAAGGCATGCACCACCATTGCCCGGCTCCTCTCTTTATTTCTTACTTTCTTTTTTTTTTTTTTTTTTTTTGAGACAGGGTTTCTCTGTATAACAGCCCTAGCTGTCCTGCAACTTACTCTGTAGGCCAGGCTGGCCTTGACCTCACAAAGATCTGCCTACCTCTGCCTCTGAGTTCTGGGATTAAAGGCATATAGCAACCACCACTTGATGAGAAATTTTTAAGCTCTAAAGCTTAGAGTATTCCATACTGAAAAACAAACAAACAAAGCCCACTTAAACAAAAATACCCGAAAGTCACCAATTTTTTTAAACCTCTTATTAAAGTTGAAATGGAAGAAGCCAGTGTACTTCTTACTAGTGATGCCACAGAATAAGTTTTTATACCAGAGAATTATAGGCAGCCAGCAGGGCTAGGGGTGAGGATTTGAGAGGCTAAAGGGAGACCAATAAGAATTCATTATATACATTCATAAAATTAAGAGAACAAAATTTATTAATATAGAAGAAGACAAAATATCTACTAATTGTAATAAAAAAGCAGTGTAGTTTCTCTAATTCCTGGCAAAGGGGAGCTTGCTCACAAAGCACACAGAGTGGAATGGCTGCATTCTGTATTTGATTAAGCGTCCTAGCAAAGATGAGCTTGCTTACAAAGCACATATAGTGGAATAGCTGCATTCTGTATTTGATTAAACATCCTAGTAAAGGGAAGCTTGCTCACAAAGCACAGAGAGTGGAATGGCTGCATTCTGTATTTGATTAAATGTCCTACTCCAGGAAGCTGGAAGGCTTCAGAAAGAGGCACTGATATAGGCTCTTTGCTATTTAACAGCTGTCTCCAAAATCAAGCTGAAAGCTACATGTTTATTTTTTTATATTGCAAGCTCATGCCACCCACGTATTTATCTAAAGTACATGACAAAGACGGTCAGAGATGTAAAGACAGTCCAGCTACTTGTGGCAGTTACTGCTCAGAAGCCCTAAGATACTGCTTGAAATGTTTCTTTACCAAGTTGTTAAAAATCATATGGGTCTGGTGTTTTCTGTGTAATCCAACTGTGAGCGTGGAGATGCATCTCCTCTTGAATTCTCTTGAAAGAGGAGTCTCTTTCTTATATATGTCTAGAATTATTGCCATTGTCAATGTGGCACTCAGAATTTACTGACTTGAGAGAAATTACTGTAATACATAATAATTATAATTAATGATAAGTATTAAAATATGAAGACTAATTTAAGATACTTTTAGGACATTATTAATTATTCATACTGGATCTTCAGTTTTTGGTTAGCATTTTTGCATTCACCATAATATTATATACTTTGAAGGAAAACATTTAGAACATAATGATTACCTTTGAAGAAGTTTAATTTTATATGGATGTCAATAACACAAGAAGGCAGAAGAAAGCGAGGTAAGATTCTGTAATAATAAGTAAAGACATTTTAAAGTAATTAAATGTTTAAGAAAGCTTCTTTTTACATTGGGAGGCCAAGGCACTAAGACCTGTGATTGACATTTGCCAGTATTCTCAGGTGTTAATGCAATGAGCTAACAGGGTAGAGAGATTTATTGTCTGTAGTGCCCTGAAAAGGAAGCATGACAGTCTTCTTCTGGGACCCTGGCCACGGTCACAGAGGAAAGCCGTTGTTCCCGAGGACTCTCAGTTTAAGGTGGTGGCTTAATCAGGAAAAGAAGTAGACAGATTCAGTTGTACACCTACTTAACACAAGGTCAGAGAACACATACTCAAAAGCAGATGGCAGGAGCACTTCTGAGCATGCCCAGTTGAGTATTGTACCGATCCAGGCTGATTTGGTTCCCTAACAATGCAAGTCAGTGTCTCAAGGGCTGTGCTGGTTTTCCTTGGGTTTCTCCGGAATGTCTCCACTGAAACAAAGCCAGAAGAGGACAATCGTGCCGGTTCTTTAACGCGGGCGTTTGTTGCTGGTGGTGCCTGCTTTGCTCAGTGGCTAGTGTTCGTAGGAAACGAAAGCGTTGCTGGAGCCTGTCTTCCTTTTTCCGAAAGTGTAATTGTGTTAACCTTGAGACAGTTCTTTCTGCAGCAGGATGAGAGACCGATTCCAGGATGTGATGAATCTCTCAAGCATGCTTTCTTGTGTTTTCTTCCCAGAGAGAAATACAAGAGCTCCAGGTGTGGTATACCAAGCTCAGAGGACCATCGGAGAGGCTTCATTTCAAACAACTGGACTCTCTATGGGTAGTCTTAAAATTGATTCCTCCGTTTGGGGCATTACAATAGTAAAAAGGAACAAATGTGATCGATGAATTAAAAGGGAAGTTGATTTTATGACAGCAGGGCGGTAGAGATAAACATCTCTCCATATTTGTCTTAAACAGAAACCCTGAGTAAGGTGTGAAAACCTTGTGTATCCGTAGCTGTATTAGTGCTTGTTTATATTGGTGGATGTGCCCACTGCTGTCTGGCCGCCCAAGTGAGAGATGTAGGTCTCCTTTGAGATTGTTTCCCTCCGTCCTGGTCTGTCCCCTTGGCAGTTGGCTGTAGGCAGTTCTGCCCTCTGTGTTTTCTCTTATTTGCCATTGTTTCTTGTCCTCCCCGCTGCCTGTCTCCACTCTTCATTATGCCTCATTGTTCAGAAACTGCCCACGGTTTCAACAGACTCCAGTCTGAGTCTCAGGGCAAGCCATGGCCCTGCTGCTAGAGCAGTGTGCCTGCAGTCCTTGGTTTGGAAGGCATCATCAATCTTCCCCGTCAGTTCACATTCCCCATGTGACCATCCCTGTCCTGTCATGTGACCACCACTGTCCTCTCAGGCGCTGGAAGATAGCTTTCCCTTCCCGAGGCAGATCTCAGTAGCTGGCCTCTCCTCACAGAGAGTAAACTCCTAAAATGGCTTCCATCGTATCTCTGAAGATATATGTCAGCTCAATTGTCCATTTCTTTGAAGCCTTGCTCACCTGACCCAGTGCAGGACTCTATGTGGATCTCATTAAATACCCTATACCCCTCCCCCAGGACTTTGGTTACCTTGAGATTGGGGCTCTGCCTTGTTTTAGTCCAGAGGTGTTTGATCCTTGGTAGTTCCCCAGGGATGGTTGCAAAGAGTGAACTGGCCCAAGCAAGCATATTACATCATTGGACTGACTTTATCGGCTGCGTTTTTAATAATAATGTTCTGACAATTAGCTAGTCAGTATCAGTAATTAAATACCCATTACAACACTCTCTACTTGTATAATAATTTGCTAGAAATCATATAATGCGATTGACTTCCCCCATAGGAATATTATCTGGCGTTAATCCCGAGCCAGAACGTGGCACTGGATATCCATGGTTCTGCATCTTTTTATCCTTAAAGCCAAGAAATAATGCTAAACCCTTTAGTTCAGTGTAGATAAAAACTCATTAAAGTTTGAAAGATGAGCTCAAGCTCAGTGCCCACGTTAGTTGTGTGGGATTCTAATGTTTCCAGAAGGCAGTGCCTATTACACGAACTGGGCTCTAGAGAGTGTTTCCTCTGACCATACACTGAAGCAAGCTAAGCAGGCCCTTTTTAAACATCTGGTCTGATTCTCACAACAGCCCTCTGAGATATGTGTCCAGAGCCTTGAGATGAAAAACTTAGAAAGACTGCGTCGCTAGGGTCATATATGTGGCCTAAACCTAGCCTAGTAATTGAAGCTAAAACTGCGAGTACAATGCGCAGGTTTTGGTTCTTAGCTCTCGAGTGTGTGAGGTTCCTAGTGCTCACCAGCCGAGCTGTCTGGGAGCTTTTGTGCCTTCTTGTCTGTTAGTGAAGCTCTGGAAGAAACAAGCAGCCTCTGAGTTGCATTAATCAAACCAACGTGAGCTTTAAGGAGTCTGTAGTCCAACAGAGGAGGCAGCTGACTGATAGAGACTTCCAGCCATCTTGGCCTTTCCCCTTTTCTGTTGGAACTTCTTTTCTACAAAATATCATCTATACCCTCTTGTAAAACACCCTTAGAGACTGCCGAGGGCCTTAGCATTGCTGTGTCTTCCCCACGTGTTTAGGAAGCTCTAGCAGAATGACTGTCTAAGCTTGCTTCTTTCAAAGCTGTCCCCATGCCCACACCTGTGAGGGTTCTAGCACCTGGCCGTGAATGTGGGGCCATCTTCTTTTTCAGCTCCTGGACAGCGGTGGCAGTTTTGCCTTGGAACTGCAGGAGGACGAGCTGGTGACACTCACCACTCTCACCACAGGCCGCAAAGGCAGCTACCCTCCGCCTCCCAAGTCGCAGCCCTTCCCGAGAAACTATAAGGATGATTTCAACGTTGGTGAGTGGTCTCTAACCTGCCTCACCTGCCATCCATCCTCTGCAGAGCAGAGCACTGTCTTCTCGTCCGACTGCATGAATGACAGATAGATAGCATGATGTCCAAAGTCCTGATGTCCCTTTCAGCACTTTGAGTTTTACCTGGTTAAAAGATAGCTAATATTTCCAGTTCTTTGAGGCGAAGTTGTATTTTTGAGTTCCAGAAAAAGATGCAGAAGTCATTGTGAGGAGGAAAGTTATAATTCTAAGCCCTTTTGGGTGAAGCATAAGATGATAGCTGGGTACCGCCTCCTTGACCGGCCCTACATGTTTCTCTGATGTGGAGGCTAAATCACGGTTCCAGGGAACTGAGTGCCTAAGGGCAGCCATGCTAGAGTTAGGGGCTTCAACTCATTGCTTGCCGGAGTTTAACCCTCGCATCTTCAGGAGGGTCTGCCCTGATGTGATTGGAGAAGCCTTGGAGGATGGGCCGTTGGGAAACCATCTGAAAGCAGAAGCGTGCTCATTGTGCTTGCATCTCTAGAGGACCAGCAAGCAGCGGCATTTGCTTACCAAGCAATAGTGGTTGGTGGGCCTGAAGGCTTTAAAGTTGAGTCCAGTAGCTCTATAATCTGCCTCCAAAACTGATGGCTGTCAATGTACAGAGTGTCCAGATGTACAGCGTGATGTACCCGCATCCTCCTGTAGAGGGCAGCACTGCTTGTTCCACCCAACATGGAGACTCCGGCCTGTGCCACTCACTGCTGGGTCTCACATTCCCGTGGCAGGGCATGAACGTTCAGCTGCTTGACATAGAAAGGCCTTTGGGCTCTGGTACTGGCATCTCCAAATATCACACACACACACACACACACACACACACACACACGTCTTTAGGTCTAAATTTTGGTAGGTTTTAAGTATTATTTATATTTTAAAAATCACTGGAAAGTGTCTCACAATATTCCACAGATATCAGACAGGAGGACACTGGTAAGGGGTTGATGCTCGGCCTCTGAAACACTAAACAGAAGATGTGTTGTGTTCTGAACAGAATACCCATTTTTTAGCGAAGCTCCGAACTTTGCTGATCAGACCGGCGTGTTTGAGTACTACATAAATAACGAAGACCCTGGAGAGCATCGCTTCACACTGCGCCAAGTTCTCAATCAACGACCTATCACCTGGGCTGCGGACGCTTCCAGCACCATCAGCATTATAGGCGATTACCACTGGTGTGTGAGAGAGATGCCCTCAGTGTCTAACCTCCTGATCTGGGTCCATTCTGAGTGACGAGCTTGCAGTAGTCCTCATGTCAAGAAGCCTACTAGGCAGGTCATGGTTGTGTGAACTCGGAAGCCCTCAGATTATTCCAGGTTGATAATAACTTTAGTGAGAGAAATTTAACTTTAAAGGAAGAATTGAGAATACTTGGGACTTGAGTATATAATAAATAATACAATATATTATAATTACAATTTAATGCTTACTTGCAGACCTTGTGATTTGAAGTTTATCAGAGTTGATTTGTTGAGCTGGTTTTGCCACCTGCTGGACAAACAGTAGAATTCCACCTAAGCTAGGTCTAGGAAGCTACTTAAAAAGCAATCCGGTGGGGCCACTCCAGCCCTCAAATCGACTGTCCTTTTAGAGATGGAATTTAGTCAGATTATCAAGGGGGTTTCTTAATCTTGATAGATAGAAACATATAATTGGCCTCAGAGTAGTTAAAACATCCCTGGCTTGGGCTTCCTCCTGTGTTGGTGATGGAAATGTAGGTAAATCTTTCTATTCAGACTCACCAGAAACTTTGCCTTTATGCACTATGAAAGTGCCTCATTCAGTATCACACTACACGACGACAAACTGCTTTAGTATAGAAAGGCAAGTAGCATACCGTTCCAGTGCCTAAAACTAGTAAACACTGTCCACCAACCCATTGAAAGAATCAACAAAGTCAGTTCGCTTAATCGTGTAAAACTTGAAACAGCCGTTAGGATTCTTGAAGCCCATCCTCGCTACCTGTTCAGACAGAGCCAGTTACTCCCTCAACTGAGGATGGGAGACATTTGCTATGAAGTGCTTGTTACCGCTGGGTTGGTACCATGAATGCAGAGCTAATTGACTCTTTGACCCTGCAGGACCAACATGACTGTGCAGTGTGATGTCTACATAGAGACCCCTCAGAGAGGGGGCGTGTTCATCGCTGGAAGGGTGACCAAAGGGGGCATTTTGGTGAGGACGGCTACAGGAGTTTTCTTCTGGATTTTCGCAAACGGATCTTACAGAGTCACAGCTGACCTGGGTAAATGACACATCTCAACGGGTCAGGACTTACTTGGAGCCTGTGTGTCTAGGGGGGAAGAATTTCAGCGTGTGTCAAGTCCCGAGTTATTCAGAGCCACAGCTATTTAGTTAGTGTGGAGGAGAGCAGCTCAGCAATGAGAAGGAACAGTAGGAAGGGTGTGCAGCGCTGTGAGGGTGAGCTTTTGAGGACCCAGGTGGGGTAGTGATGGAGGGAGAACACATTGGGGAGCCTCTCAGAAGACTGTAAGTATTGGTGCTTATGGAAATCAAGGGGCAGGCTGAGCCTCTTAGCAAAGAGACTTCTATCCCCTAATACATGGAATGCTGGGAAGGAGTTTGCCTTTTCTCTCTGACATCTGTCTCAGCAACACTGGCCTATGCAGAACAGCTCTTAATGCTGAGTGGGGGCCTAGGTGCTCGTTGACACTGGATTGCACTTAGGTCACCCAGCTGCGGTGACATGAGGTCTTGTGGTGGTAACTTCTTAATTCTCAAATCTCTTGACTTACCACATTAGTGACATTTTTTTATTTTATAATTTTCTGATCTTTGTTCCAGATCAGAAACTAGAGAGTAGCAGGTGGTAAGGGTATTGTCATAGTGTGGCCCATCTAGGAGGTACCTCATTGATACATAGATTGCTTGTCCCCAAGTCCCCAAAACCAGTTAGTGGTGGAGCCAGAACTGGGAATTTCAACCTGCATCTTCAGTACCCACTGCTGTAGTTCGAAGTCACCTCTTGATGTTTAACCCTAGATTTCTTCCAGACAGTCAGATGCCCTAAGTGGAAAGCTAGCTTATTCAATTCTCTCTCTGTTGTATTGATGCTGTTTTCATGGAAGCGTCTCTAGTAGCCTTGGGCTCTCCATTAAGATATAAGTGTATCTGTGGGTTTCCATGCTGATATGTCAGACATGGTTCGTTTTTAAGTTTATCTCATTTATTTTGCTGTGAGTGCAGGTATGTTCTGTGGTGTAGAATCCACTCTCAGAACAGGCTTGTGTAGTGTGTAGCCGAATGAGGAATTCTCCTTGGAAGTCACTTACAGATCTGGAAATGAAGGGACCGTGCTTCCCTAAGGCAGACTTAAGTACATACAGGTACCATTTCTGAAGCTCCTGGAGTTGTATGAGCCTGAGATTTAGGTTTTACACGTAGCCCAGATGAGAGATCATTTTTTGTTACAGGTGGATGGATCACATATACTTCAGGACGAGCTGACATTACAGCGAAAAGATGGTATACACTCCGCCTAAGTATTAAGGTAAGTTACGGACAAGAAAGAGTGAAAATAAAATGTGTAACTTTCTAGAGTTTTCTGTTAGAAAAAAAGTAGAAGGGTAGAAACTATGAAATGGGGGAGTCTGCTGTGGAGTCATTAAAGCCTCCGTCCAGAGATGGAGTGCTGTGTCACAGAGACCCAGAAGCTGACTTTTTAGACCCTGTTTTCTTTTAACTTGTTTTTTTGTCTTTTAGATTGAGGCATAATTGGTTAAGTGAGCAGCTGAACTAGCTGTTCTCGATGTTCTTGAACCAAGAGAGTAAATAGAACCTGCCAGAGTAGCAAAGCCATAGAAGCTTATCCCTGCTGGTCTATGTTAGAGATGATCCTGGAGTGATCATGGGAGAAAGGAAGTCTAAGCATCAGCATCAGCATCCTTGGTTGATCACACGGTGCTGGCTGACAGTGCTCCTGAAGGATGCTGTGTGGGAAAGTGTCTTCCCTAGTAGCATCAGCATCCTTGGTTGATCACACGGTGCTGGCTGACAGTGCTCCCAAAGGATGCTGTGTGGGAAAGTGTCTTCCCTAGTAGCATCAGCATCCTTGGTTGATCTGATAGTACTCCCGAAGGATGCTGTGTGGGAAAGTGTCTTCCCTAGTAGCATCAGCATCCTTGGTTGATCACACGGTGCTGGCTGACAGTGCTCCCGAAGGATGCTGTGTGGGAAAGTGTCTTCCCTAGTAGCATTAGCATCCTTGGTTGATCTGACAGTGCTCCCGAAGGATGCTGTGTGGGAAAGTGTCTCTTCCCTAGAGGTTCTTTCATACCTTCGCTTAGGTTGTAAATAGAAATTAAAATTGAGACTGAAAAAACTTAAAATGTTTCACTTGGTATCCATTCAACCACTGGAAATGAGAATTCTGATTTTTAAGCTCTTTATTAGTAGACTTGAGGATCTAGTTAGGGTGTGGTTAGTTTATTTGATTATACCATTCTTAATGGCATAATTGTTTTAGTTGTTCTTTGATAGAATGATCCCAAACATAGTTCCTGAATGTTTATGTGGTGTGATTGGTGGAGACGGGCATTTACAAGAAAAATTGCATTTATTTCTTTTTAATTGCAATTTATTTTTAAATTATTTTTGAGAATTTCCTATAGTGTAGTTTGATATATTCACCACCCATCTCCTACCAGATCTAACCTCTTCCCTTCCCACATGATGTTGTTTCCTCTTTTTTTTTTTTAATCTGTCACATCTAATTTACATTGCCCACATCCTCTTGGGTGTGTGACTATCCCTTCGAGCATGTTCTATCTACCAGGGGCCACTTGCTTTAAGAAAACTTAAGCTTCCTCTCAGTGTGGTTGTCAGTTGCCAGTTGCTCCTCGGCCTGGGACGGGAGGGGCCTCATACCCACCTCTTCTCTCCACATTGGCAGTTCATCTGGTGTGAGCTTACACAGGGCTCATGCATGCTGTCACAGTTGCTGTGAGTTCATAATTTAGATGTCCTGCTGTGTCCAGAAAACCATTTTCCTGTAGTCACCCATTGTATCTGGCCCTTATAAACCCCTGTCTCCTCTTCTGCATGATCCCTGAGCCTTGGGAGGATGGGTGTGATGTAGGTGTCCTGTTTAGGGTGGAACATTCTTTACACCTTGCCCAGTTGTGAGTCTATGTGTTAATCACCATCTGCTGCAAAAGGAAGCTTCTCGGATGAGGATTGAAAGCTGCATTCATCTATAGGCTTAAGTCACTAAGAGTTGGCATAATATATGCTCGTTAAGTGGAATAATAGCGATGGTGGGATCTCTCCTGGATCCTATGACCTGATAATAGTGCCAGGTAGGTAAGAGAGAAACACTAAAAGGTCTATTCCTAAGTATAATTCTGCCACCAATGTTTCTTTTGAGACTTGGGGCAGACCAATTAACTTCTACCACTCTCTGAATTGGAATTAGCTACCTTCTAGATTAGTCATGCTAGATGAAGGACTTCATACTCAGGACTGGGCAAGCATTTGACCTGAAGAGCCAGGTGGGAGATAGTGGGGCTTGTGGTCCATGTGCTCTGTGCTCCTGCCACTCAACTCTGGAGTTGTCATGAGATAGCCATGGCAGACAAGAGGTGAATGATTAGTGTGCCTGCTTGCCAATCAAAGTTCACTGTGGAAATAGGTGGCTGGCTTGGTTTACTGAGCTTTGTTCTAAGTCAGTAACTTGGAAATGAGTATGAAAAAATTATGACACCCCTTGCTCTGGCTTCCTAGTCATGGCAGTTAGAGAAGACTGTGCCAAGTGGGCCATGCTTGAGCTTAGATGTGGATGAAACTGAGAACAAGCTAAGTAGCCCTCATAGCTGGTGCAGAAAGCAGCTGGTCTAGCCTTGTCTAGGGAGCATCTGGGAAGCCAAAATGGCTGGAGCCTGGGGAGTGGGACCAGGAGGCACTGTGGCCCCGTGGGACAGGCCATATGTCTAATATGATTTGTGTATGTGTGTCCCTTGGCCCAGGGCTAATGGCCACTGCTCTAGAAGTGGCGGGGGGGGGAGGGGTCCAGGAGTGCCTTTGAGAGGGAGACAGCTGTACACTTGTGTAACCAGAGGCGTATGGATTCACACTGGGCCCTGGGTGACTTGGATTTGTTTCCTGGATCCTCTGGAGCCTTCAACATAGAATCTTACTCAGCCCAACTCTCAATGTCTTCATCTATAAAATTAAAGAACAATGTATTATAATTTTGAGACAGAAATATTGGTGGTGGGTTTTGGCCCAATAGTTGGACTCTCCAGCACTTTCTCTTTTGAAAGCAGCTTATTTTAGGTGGCTAGCTATGCGTTTGAGTGTGTGTTCATAGTGTGCTGCAGCGGAGGCAATAAAGGGTGAAATACAATTTACCATGTGCCAGACAGTAAGGGAAATGTAATGGCCACTTTCTGAGAAAGACACACTTGATTTCTTCCCCTCATTACCAGGAAATCACACCTCTGTGCACTTTCCTTCTTCCCCCAGCACTTTGCCCCACGGTTCAGTTTAACTACTGCTCTTCTGACCTAAGAGTAGCCCTTCCATATGGCTTTGTAGTGACATGCTCCTCGTGGGCACAAAAGAGCAAAAGGAAGGCTAATTCCTTCTCTGGCTGGGTGCACAGTCCTTGATTGAGACCTTAAGCACAGAGCAGTTTGCAGCAGGCGTTTGGGCTCAGCAAACTCCGGAGGAGTCTCCCTTGGCCAAAGTGCCCGTGTGTGCCACTGCAGTGCTGTTTCAGTGGCCTTTTGTCTGAAGCTTTGTAATAATGCTATAAAAATATTACGGCCTTGTTTTGAGGTTTGGTTTTGGGTGGGATATCAGGAAATATCGAGGTTTAATGTATTTTGTTAACTGTTTAAACAGGTACCTTTTATTCTTTCAGAAAAATTTTGATATATTTTAGACTTTTTCTCAAACACATGAAATTGTATTTTACAGTTGTAGGTCTTGAATGAGAGAGATGTTTGTTACACTAAGTATGTGAGCTACATTCTTAAATGGACTTCAGAGGACATTTCCACCTTTTCACGGGACACCTTTCTCTCTCCTGCAGGGTTATTTCGCCTCTGGCATGTTGAACAGCAAGGTCCTGTGGGAAAACGTCCCTGTGAAATACTCAGGGAACGGCTGGGCTGCGATCGGAACGCACACCTTCGAGTTTGCGCAGTTTGACAACTTTCACGTGCAAGCGGCTCGCTAGTACTCACAGGGCCTCAAGATGCTATTTGGATTTTCTATTTTTGATTTAGATTCAGGGCCAGTTTTGATGGACCTATATGTGAGCCTTTGAGGCTAGCAATAATGAAGAGTATATAGGGAAGATGGCACACGGTTGCCAGATCCTGTGAAAGATTTAATTAGAACAAATTCCGGAAGGAATGCGGATGTCTTTGGCATTGCCTGCGGTAGCCTTAACACTGTTGGTCCCATCCTTCAGGAGTGGTTTGGGTGGTACCTGCCTTGTAGTCTTGGTGCTCTTGGTAGCTCTCTCCATACTGTTTGTAAATGATCATGCAGATGGCCGGGACCTGAGAACCACAGGTGGTTTGTGTCTAAGTGAGTGGAGGCATCCTTAGAAGATGCTGATGCTTAAGAGGAGGCTGATGAACACTTCAGGGCACACTTTAACATGCTGTCCTCTCTCTCTCTCAGAAACACACACACACACACACCCTCTCTCCCTCACGTGCCCCTCTCCCTCCCTCCTCCCTCCTTCTCTCTCTGCCTTCCTCCCCCCATAATGGAATTGGTGGGATGATTTGAAAAATACCTCATTAATAAACTAACTCCAAAGCCATTTTTGCAGTAATAAAAGTAACCAGAGTAAATTGGGTTGTTTGTATTCTTTCCTTATCTACTTCTGGCTTTTGACTCTTATCACCCTTATAACTGTCTTGAGAATTTTCCCCTCATTTCTTCTGCCCTTTGAAGTATGTCCTTACAGGTGCCTCCGGAAACAGCCGAGCACTAACGAATGCCATCACCTCTCTCTGTGTGCCAGGAGGGTACACTTAGCCTTTTACTAGCTTACTAAATTGGGTCATGTCCTAGTGTTTTATGGATAGGTGCACTTAGTATGTTCCTACTGTTTATATTTAAGTGTTGGTAAGCATTAATGTAACTCTTAGAACCAAATCAGTTTTTCATGTGGATAAAGAGAACTCTGGAATTCTTTATAAGGAAAAATTACTCATTGAATTAATTCCACTACATGGGAATTTGTGTCAGTCTAACACTGGTAGAACTAGAAGGAGGTTTGTGTTGCTTTTAAGAACTTGAAGATAATTGCCAGTATAATTCAGATTAAAGAAAAATATATTTAAACCAAGTCTAAATGATTTATAATTTAAATTTTTAAATATTTTTGAAAACTAACATACAATTTACATATAATAGAATATTCCTATTTGAAGTGTGTAGTTTGTTTTGATAAGGTAAATATTCCTTTGTAACCAGCACTGTGATGACGCCACCAACTATCTCCATCACCTTGGAGGGCTTTCTGTTACACCTGCACAGGCACTCTGTGTTTGCTATGGAAGCGACATGTTGTGCGATGCGTCCTTCAGAATGGTTGCTTTCCATCAGCATAAGGCTGTGAAATTTGTCCAGGTTATCACTTGCCGAAGTGGTCGGCTCCTTCCTATTTCTGGAGAGAACTCCACTGAATGGCTATGCCACAGTTTGGTTTTCCATCTTCTATTTTAATGAGATGAAAAGTAAAACTCTTGACAGCATTTACATACAAGTCTTGGGACTATTCACTTATTTCTTCTGGATTAACTGGGGAGAAAGGTTACTGGCTCTTATGTTAAGATACGTTTAACTTCATAAGAAACCACCAGCTGTTCCCAAAATGATCTCATTGATGTTACACTCCCATCACCGGTGTTAATGATGTTACACTCCCGTGATGATCACCAGTGTTAATGCACCAATGACAGCATTCCTGCCAACACTGTGTAGTGCATCTGGATAGATGAAGATCTCTGCACACACGCTCCTGTCATCTGTGGTTTCAAGGGGTCTGGATAGATGAAGATCTCTGCACACACGCTCCTGTCATCTGTGGCTCCAGGGCTTTTGCTTCTTTCCCAGTGTGTTGCTTTGTTTCAGAGGTTTCTGCTGTCTTGAGCTCACTGGAACTTTCAGTTACAGCTTTGAGGAGTGCTCAGAGCATCCATCCCCACCTCGTTCCCAATCTTAGGGAGAATGTCTTCCACTCTTAGCATGATCTTCTAAGAAGGTGGTTTCTTTTCCCCTCCCCCTCTCTTTTTTGTTTTTATATCTCTTGTGTAATGCTGTTGGTGCATAAGTGCAGATCTCGCTTCAAAGGCAGTAATAGTTTATTCTTGAGCAAAATGTGAGTGACTACAGCCCAGGAACATGGATTTAGGTTATCCCAAATCCCATGTTCCTGTGTGGTAGCAATTTCATAAAGTTCTTATAGTAATAGAACAACAGCAGTCATCAACCAAGGCACTGTTAAAGATAATTGGTAGCAACATCAGTAGATGGGTTACAGCAAGGTGGGGAAGTTCTCAGATATGGGCCTGAGCTGCTGTCTGATGACATTCTTAGTCTGGGTTGGTGGAATTTAGAGGTCCATTCATACAACCTCATAGGGTTTAAATTTGATCGTCACAGGGATCTGGCTTGAGGACGCTGGCTACTGCTCTGCCACCCATATTAAGCCAGACCCATGACTCGTGGTGAGCATTTGCAAGCGAAGATGAACGGACTAAAGGGTAAACTGTGTGACTCAATGGGATACACTGCAGTTTCCAAGGCAAGATCTCTCTCTCTCTCTCTCTCTCTCTCTCTCTCTCTCTCTCTCTCCCTCTCCCCCTCTCCCTCCCTCCTTTGTTTGGTTTTGGAGGGGATGGGGGAGATAAATGGGATTAGAATACATAATGTGGAATTCACAAAAAGTTAAAAAAATTAATAAAGAGGCCTGATGGGGTAAAAATAGCCCAAGATAATTTGGCTCCAGACCTGAATATTCCAGCTTTCCATAGTTACTAAAATTCTAGACCATCAATCTACTTTGGAGAATCTTTAACATAGGTGCTATTAATCTGGGAATTTTAGTTCTAATGTCTTATAAATAATCTGATAACTTCTCAAGAAAATCTCTCTTGGCAAGTCCATGACCACTCTTGGGCATGTGCTCTCATTTTCTCAAGATCCTCACTGTCTTTCCAAATGGCAGTATTTAAAATCTATGTTATAGGCGCTGGAAAGATGGCTCAGAGGTTAAGGATGCTTACCGCTCTTGCACATGGACTGAGTTTGGTTCCTGGTACCCATATCAGGGGCCTTACAACCGCCTATAATTCCAGTACCAGGGGACCCAAGACCTCTGACCTCTTCAGGCTCCTGAATTCATGTGCATGGACCCCCACACAGGCCCAGAAGGGGTGAAGAGAGTGACTCTCAGGGCTTTGGGAAGACTTCCGGAGCAGGAAGATGGCTCTCTTGCATTGCATCAACTCAGCCCATCTCCATTGCTTCACGTTTAATTAATGGCAGAAAGTTATCTGACCCTCCGGGATGGCGTTATTTCTTTTTATGAAACTTTTCAAATCCCTGCCTTTCGGGAACCAGCATGTTCTAGCAAATTCCTGCTGTACCACCCACACTATTTTTAGCAGTGAATGGATTGTTCCCTTTCTTAGCGCCTTGAAATAATATCAGCAGGCATTTATTGAGAATTAGGCTGTAAGCTCCGTGGAAACGGGGATTAAGTTTGATTCCGTGCAGAGCCATATCCGCAGTATCTAGTATAGGCCCCGATAATTAATGCAGAGGTGACGAATAAGTAGCTGTTGGGAGGTATCTTAGTTGCTATTCTATTGCTGCGAGGAGACAGCGTGAGCTAGGCAACTTATAAAGGAAAGCATTTAATTGAGGCTTTATTTAACATTTTCAGAGGGTCAGTCCAGCATGTCAAACTGGCAAGCAGGCATGATGCTAGAGCAATAGCTGAGAGCTTATCTCTGGTCCATAGTGGAGAGGCAGAGAGAGGGAGAGAAAGACTGGGCCTGGTATAGGCTTTGGAAACCTCAAAGCCCACCCCCAGTGACACCTCTTCCAAGTAGGCTGAATTTTCTCTAACAAGGCCACACTTCCTAATCTTTCCTTAAAAAAAAAAAAGGCCATCATCTAGGGACCAAGGAATGAAGCATTCAAATATATAAAACATCCAAATATATAAGCCTTTGAAGGCCATCCTCAAACTACTACCGTAGGGAAGATGGAGTATTTGTGAGGAATGGATATCTTGTGTTAAGTAATTCTCATGAGTTACATTATTTCAGACCCTGTAATGTTTGCAACTAAAACTCACAGGATGTCAGAGAGTGCTGGCGCCTGACTCCTTCCTGGATTACCAGGGAAGCTGAGAATTGCCACCGATTACCATATGAAATGTATAAAACTCTCTCTCTCTCTCTCTCTCTCTCTCTCTCTCTCTCTCTCTCTCTCTCTGTGTGTGTGTGTGTGTGTGTATGTGTTTGCACATGCATGTGTATGCACATGCCTATGAAGGTCAGAAGTCAGCATCAGGTGTCTTCATCACTATTCTCCTTATTGTTTGAGACAGGGTCTCTCTGAACCCAGAGCTCGTTGGTTTGTCTGGGCTGTCTTGCCAGCAGTCTTAGGGACCTTCATGTCTTGGCCTTCCCAGTGCTGGGATTACAGCTGTGTTCTGCTGCCCCGGATTTTTAGCTGCTGCTGGGGATCTGAATTCAGGACCTCATGTTTACATGGCAAGTACTTTACTGACAGCAAATTCCCTAGCCCAAATAGGGGTAGTTTTCAAAGTCTGTCTGGCTAGTTGGCATGTGATTAAGAACAAAAATTAATTATGCTTACAAACAATTTGAGAAAATAAAAAAGCTGATGTTAATTTAAAGAGAGATACTTGGATATTTGGGGGGATGAATGAGGTGATTCTGAGTGATTAACAGTTCATCAAAACAGCTTCCACTTACCTTTGTGGAGATGTTGCTCTTCTGAGCCATATATTCATCTTAAAAAATGCTGTCTAAATGTATTATAGGTCCTGAATAGGAGACATATATTCTCCCAGGATTGGACTGATTTCCACTGTTCTAAAGCTTCCGAAGGAAGCCATGAGGATTTTGCAAGGATGAAGAACAGAACTGGCTTTCTGTGCCTCTGGCACTCCCCTTCCATCTCCATCAGGAGAGATGTTTGGCATGGCTCTGTGCTTGTTTGCTTATGACTTGTTTCCTGAGCTCGGTTAAAAGCCTGTGTTAAGTCCTGAGACTGATCTAACCCTGTGTCTGGAGGGACTCCTTAAACCATACCTATGGATTAAATAAATCTTTCAGTGGCAGACATGGGCTGGAATTTGTAACTGGAATCAGGCTCTGGCAACCCCTCAACATGCTGGTATTTGTGATCTCTGTTGAATTAATTCAGGCAAGACCCCAGAGAGCAGAAGACAAGCAGGACAAAAGGAGTGGCCTTTCAAGGGGAAGAAAGGACAGTGGAGAGTGGCCGTCGTGCCCCTAAGGTGGATTTTATGCTAATTTGTAAAATTTCAGGAACAGATGTGTTTAAGTGGCCAGGGGATTGATAGGTCTGTTTAGATTAAGAGAGGGGGAACTAGTATGTCTTTGTTTCATAGCAGGGAGTCTCTGATAGTAATTGTATGAGCTTTGAGGAATTCCTATCTTCACCCAGGGCTGAAAATATGATTCATATCTCATTCTATTGATCAGTGATCAAAATTTGAGTCCCTGGTTTTATAATCTGAAGATTGTAAAGGAGGGGGGAATCTACCCTCAAACTTCCATGCCTGCTAACATCTGACTCACTATCTAATAGAGATGATGTGGCTATATTCCCGTAAGAGCTCTGATGTCTCCACACCCCAAACTCTGCTCTTGCCATATATATTTAGAATAGAGTCGCCATCAACTCTAAATGTACAGTAAGCATAACTGAGGAGACTTGATACCTGGGTTTGGCCCCAGAGAATCTGGTTGGTTGGTCTGGGGGAGAGTTTGAGGATTGATTCTTATTGTAAGCACTGCCTGTAATTCTGATGTGTAGTCAAGACTGAGAGCCATTCTTGTAGAAGCGGAAGGCGCTTCCAGAGGACATTTCTCACCCTTTACTTTCCTGGTGTCCTTCCTCACCTAACTGGTGGTCTCTTGCTTCTGTGAGAAGGTGTTTTAATGGCCCTCAAAGACTAGACCTAGACATTTTAGAAGGTAAGTAAAGAAAACAGGCTATGAAACACAGAGTGTGATGTACTCAACAATGAATTTTCTTTTAAATTGTAAGTTAATTAGTCAAGGAAATAAATACTAAACAAACCTGGGCTAGAAACCTGGGCTAAAGGTCATTTTCTTATAACCGTTAAGCCCAGATATAGATAACCTGCCAACAAATGGCAAAATGAGCCCAAATGAGTACTTTTCTGTGAACAGATCTGAGTAGAACTATTTCAAAAGAAACAGAAGCAAGTGAAAATGACCAATTATCATGGAACAATAAAACATTTGCCATCTGCCATAAAACATCAGGCAGAAACAGTTTCCAGTTGGGCAGTTTTGCTGACTAAGGAGCAGTCTTCGGACAGTTTGA